ACACTGTGTACAACATCGCAAGAAAGCATTTCTTCGCTACGTTTCTTGTCTCAATTCAATCTAAGATATACATGAAATCGGTCAGAGATTTTCTGTTCAGGGATGATGACCACCCAACTTTATTAGATGCATCTGAGGCTTCCGAGTAATCTGCGCCAATCCGAGAAGCAGTCCAGGCGCCAGGGACTTTGAAAGTAAATCCTAAGGCCCTAAACCTGGAATATCACCAACACCAAACCCTAAACCCTAACCCTAAAATGCGTCTGAGCCTCTCGATACAGATCCAGATGTCCTTCGGTATGTTTCGAGTATAAGTGATATCGTCTTGAATTGCTATCGCTCTCTGGGCTCTCTCTTTCCTCAAACCCTCAACCTGAAGCCACAGCCCCAAAACCCTAAAGCCATCCTTGTTCTCAGTCTCCGTATTTAGCTGTTATTGTTTGGGTTCTTTACAACAGCGGGGCTTCGATCATGATACCTGACTTTGAAATCCTGGTATCGATCTTAAACCTTGCTTCGCGGGTGCATCTGGTACATCCCTGATCGATATTTCGGTCTTATGTTGGATGATGCTCAAGTAAAATTTAATACTCCGGGGTATTTGGCCACCTAGTAGAGATTCCAGTCTTGGTGCCGGCTCGGGTTGCCCATTTCCGGGTTTAGCACGGGTTTAGCTTAATCCGTTGAGTGAGAGGAAGTCGTTGGCTTAGGGTTCTGGGTCGTCTACCCAGAGACTCCAATATCCCTTAACTAAGGAATAATCCTTAAAGCATACTAGGGATCTTACTCTAATTTAAGGAATATTCCTTAATTAAGGGACATTGAAGTCTCTGGGTACTTACATTGGAATTGGAGTAGACACTGCCCTACGCACATCGCGATCATACTTTGACCGATGCTGCTGGACTGGCCACAAGAGATGGGGGAACCTGCTTACAAAACCCGTCTCGCATGGCATCGTTGCAGCAATCTGACAGATGGAAGATTGACGATCCTTATGTTGGGGGGCCTTGGGGTTGCATGTCGGCTTGGTGATCGAACTCATTCGCTTGCAGTGTCACTTGTCATGCGAGTAAAATCTAAAAGCCTAGTGCCCGCGAGAAGCAGAGAGAGAGAGAGAGAGAGAGAGAGAGAGAGAGAGAGAGAGAGTCAGAGAGAGAGTGAGAGAAAGAGGGAGAGGGGGAGAGAGAGAGAGAGATATATATATATATATATATATATAGAGAGAGAGAGAGAGCGAGAGAGAGGGAGAAGGTGAGGGAGAGAGAGCGAGAGGAAGAGCGAGAGAGAGAGAGAGAGAGAGAGAGAGAGAGAGAGAGAGAGAGAGAGAGAGAGAGAGAGAGAGAGAGAGAGAGAGAGAGAGAGAGAGCGAGAGTGAGAGCGAAAGAGAGAGATAGAGAGCAAGAAAAAAAAAAGAGAGGGAGGGAACCACCCGTATGCATGTGTCTGTGTGTGTGTGTGTGCTAGCGAATGGCTGAGTGATCGAGTGAGGAATCAGATGAGAGAGTATCAATGTGGGTGAGTAAAGTTCATGTGTGGATCTGCAAACGTGTGCAACTAATAAGAGCACTGTGCTATAATATGTTATAACAAGCATCGACCATTAGTTTAAGCCAAACCCTAATGAGAAGCACAAGTGAGGATAGTCGAGGAGATAGACAAGGAATTTATGTGGATGCCAACCCTGATCTGCTTAGTACTGACGCTTTGTACGACGATCATATGGACCTAGAGTCGTGGGTGGGAGAGAAGGAGATGACAGATTCATCGAGATCGAGAGCCATAAATGCGACAAGGAGTAGGAGAGAGATGAAACAACCCCAGGATGAACTATACTAAAGTTTTTAAGAGCAGTGTAACCACTGCTAGCAACTGGCATTGCGAGGTTGCTGCATGGCTCCAAGATTGCTGCACACAAGCTTCGGGCTTTGATCGGGTAATGTTTTTTCGACTATGAAGAGGTAAGATCAGTATAATTCGGGTTGGTATTTGGTGCGCGGTTTGTTGTTAGAAGTGCACTCCTGGCATATGAATAGCACGAAGCACAGGACACGTTGCCATGCAGCCAAAGCCAAGTAGTGCTACTCCATGTGTCAGCACGCAAGCACGGAATTATATGCTGTATGCAAGGCATGGATCTTCGAAGAAAGGGTTCGAGGCATTATATTATAGAACTGATGGATTACGGGATCGGATGAGTGTTGGTAAGCATAATATGGTTCCATTATAATCGGGTTTCTTTCCGCTGAAGCTTCCGCCAAGAAACTTCAAAGCATAGGGTTTTGTCCCGCGGCCCACATGCAGGTGGAAGGCCTCGCAAGAGCACCAGGATATCATGGAAACGCTCAGCGTCAACGAGCGCAAACGCCGCCGATACATTTAAGTGGCTTTTGGGCGTAGTTTTGTTGCATTTCAGTGTGCTTGATTTGCTGCAGAGCTGTACCATGTATGCTCCGAAGCTGGGGATTGCGTTGACGGCATAGTTCGAGCCTACGTGTATACCGGCCATATAGATCTCTGAGTTATCATTCAGTATGTCAACGCAGGGGGCTTCGAAACTGCAATGTATGGCAGCAGTGTGCTAGCACACGGTCTCTGCATACTGTGAGCTCGTGGAGATGCGATTCCGGCGTTGCGTGATCGGGGATCTGGATGCTCTGCAAAACAATTGTGCAATATGAGTGCCAACTGCAATGAGTCTACTAGTAGCCTTTAATGTGAAGTAACTTGCTTCTCAGCTTTTGGCTGCTTAAGGGGCCGGAGGTGTTAGTAATAGTGAGTTTTCAAGCACAAATAATTGGGGGTATTGCATCTGCTAGACCCAGTCCAGAACCTAATAGTGTGACCCGAAAATCCAGGATATCCCCAACATTCGCAAGATACTCCAATTAGTGTTGAAACAACATGTTGTTCACGCGGCTCCTGGTTGCGATCGCGACACTCCATCTCAGCCACTCGACGGCATCGATGGGACCGATCATCACGTTAACGCCATGCATTTGCAAGCCTCAGCTCCAGCTATCTACAAAGTTTTCAGGTTTCGGGCCGAGATCCAACGATCTCGACTTCTTGGAGGTCTTTGCAGGCAGGGCTCTGGAAACCTGAATATGCAGGATCACGAATCACCCACCATCCATATACTTTCCTCATGAGTCTTCGCTAATTGCAACGGTCAATCTATTTTCGTACCATCACAAGCATGACCCCCACATCTTGTAAACCTAAACATGTGTATACACTAGAACACATCGTCGCCAGGGGAGCACTTGCTCTACTCGGCAGCCAAGTACTACGGGTTGCGAGCGCATGGCATCGATGAGCCTCTTTCCGCAAGATCGAACCTGGGATCCAATCGGTTATAATGACCACTCGAGCTTTAGGTAGATAGCTGAGGTGACTTATTCGAGGAAACTCGACCTATTGACCGCTTTCGGCTTCCTAACTTGCCTGCACCTCGCAACTTGGAAGCTCTGGGTGTGTCTACGTACCAGTCTGCTAATACTATTTCGCATCAGTTGTAGTTTATACAGTATTTGCCCACTTAGGCCAGGAGACTTCGTCCACAAGGTGTCGCTTGGTACGCAGTGCCCTGCAGCAGCTGGATCTTTATGAGCTTTAGCTGCACAGCTGTAGAAGCTATTTTCGGTATACATTGAAATGTTCTGTGCAACCAATCAAGGAGCCGAGGAAGTTCGAAACGCAGGAGGTTGAATATCAAAGGCCCTGCCATCCTACCGCTATCCAATTCTAATATATTTCTGCACAACAGTCTCGCGCAGGCAATCGCAAACATGCGAAGGTCAAGACCGCGAACCGACTCGCACGCCGAGTTGCATATCTGCTGCCAAGCTGCCAATATTTCCGATGGCGTGTCTGTTGCAGGGGTGCGATTCAGTTGAAACCATGTGAGGATGGAGTACCATTTCAACTCTGGGGCCCATTATATCCTGGAGAACCCAACTGGCAGCTTGCTGTTTGAGCTCCCTTGCATAAAGGCACCTCGGTTATCGGCTGACTTTACATGCCTACACTGGCCTGCCCTGCCCCATCCTAGTTCATGAACTAAGGACCGGTTGCGGGCGCACAACGCCACCACTGTGAATATATGCCTCGGTGCCCTTGGTGCGCCCTCTCGGAAATGTGCCTCCCGACATATAACTGCATCGGTTCGGACTTCGAAGTCTTTGGGGCTGCTATCTAAACATCCCGACACAATCAAGCCCGAACACCATGGTTCAATCGTGATTCCAGCATATCTCATCAGGTTACACTATGGGGAACAGCTCCGTTTCTTGGCGAGCTCTACGAGCAACTTTCAGGGGAAAGGAGGACCGCTTTGTTGGGCATACAACTAGGGCTGTTTGGAGGGACAGCCTGGTTTTGCGCCCCAACCCTTAAAGTTGAAGCCCAAAGACACTCAATTATAATTTGATTTGACAGGACCCGAAACTTAGACCATACATGGGCTCCTAAAGAAGAAACCCCTCTCTCTCTCTCTCTCTCTCTCTCTCTCTCTCTCTCTCTCTCTCTCTCTCTCTCTCTCTCTCTCTCTCTCTCTCTCTCTCTCTCTTCAGTTTCTCTCTCCCCCACTCTCTTTATCTATATAGGTACGTAGAGACTCATATGCACACTAAACCACCGAACCGCAATCCTCATAGTTCAAAAAATGTTGGCAGCCTCAAGCAACAACAGCCAAACACCACAAACCTTTTAACTGTCTTGAGTCCAAAGCTGACCTGCCAGAACGAGGATCATGTACTTTGTTTAACCCCTGCACACGAGCATAAATCGCCCCCACTGTCCGGCAAGGACTCTTCCGAATTTAGAGGTAAGGGTCAGCTAGTCGCATTATAGGGTAGTTGGGTGTGTTGGGGCCGAGCTTCAATTTTAACATGTGTACTAATAAATATACTTATATTTTGGCGGTTGTGCTTAATGGGTTCGGGTCGGGATTATGAGTATATGGCTTTCACTTACGCAAAGATTAGACTGGCACCTCGATGATCCCCACCATCAGGAGCCAACTTCGTCGTATCCAGAGCTTCCTCAAGCTGGACATCTCCCGTGGCTATGTCGATGGTGGAGGTCGCAAGAAACGGGTGCCTGGGCTGAATTATCAAGTTGGAGCTCACCTATACAGCAGTGCTCGAGGTCGGTGGCAAAGATCTTACACGCACTGGGGTTTATCCGGGGAGAATGGCTTTGAAGGTGTCTTATCTGCAGTTAAGGCATGTCTACATGTCTTTACCATGATCTGCCCGATTCTAATGAAGATCTAGGTTGCTGCACTTGTGTCGAAACACCTACGACATGCGCCAGCAACGCATACCAACGATGAGATGGATATGGAACTGACGGACACCGTGGGCGATGATGATTCTGACTCTGGCCTCGAGGACCTCGTAGGTGCCCAATCAGCAGCCGTGTCAGCATAGTGCTGCCTGCACCAGTATATAGTCTAGACAAGCCGATTTTGGGAGTCTTCTAGTCACTTCTCGAGGCTTGGACGATGGTCGGCTGTTAGAAAAGCAGGGCAATGCAGGACGTTCTGATTGGTAGGTGTTTTATTACTAAAACCTATCGGCGTGTATCAGCGTGTATCGGCGTGTAAGCGGCCGTTCAAACGGCCGGTTAGCGTGTATCGGCGTGTATCGGCTGTTAGATATTTTAGCATGCCCGCATATAGCCGCGATCAAGTGCTCAGGCCACAGCAGCCACTGATCAGTCCTAGTCTCGCCATGGGAAAGGGAAGTGCTCTTAAGGGCAAGAAAGGCAACGCAGCCAGCTGCGCGGGCAGCCCCGGTGACCAGTTGGTATGTGTATCGGAAGAAGTGCAGCCCCGACATTATGTGTATGTCGGGAAAGCACCCCCGAACGAAGCCGTGGGTGCGACGAAGGGCTCACCCACCAAAGGATCCAAAGGAGCCAGCACGTGGAATGCTGAAAAGGGCACAGGCAAGCCGGGGGGAAAAGCCGACAAAGGAAAGGGGTTGAAGGGAGGCAAACCCAGCGGTTCGTCTCCCTCAAGTGGCGGCGATCAGTTTGAGACACCCACACCCAAGCGGCGCACCACCGAATGCTTGGAGTCGGGCACACCGCCAACTAGGCCGAACCCGAACCCATCCCCGACCACCTCACCGAACGACCCGAAGCTGACAGGCACGGGAACCCCCAAGGGCCACGGTTGCAACACCAAGGGAGCTTGGCAGAAAGGGGTCGTAGACCAGGGTGGTAAAGGCAAACAGGGTGGAAAGACCGGCGCGAAGGGTGCCAAAGGTGCCGGCGTGGGTCCGAGTGCCGCTGATCAGGGTGTCAAGGGTGCCTTGGACCAGACCGGCAAAGGCAAGACAGGTACCACGAAGGGTGCTGCGCATCAGTCGGATGGCAAAGGCTCGAATGGTGCCACTGCCGCTGCCGATGGCAGCGACAATAGTTCGATGGCGAGCAATTGTAAGGGCAAGATCGGCAAAGGCGCAGCCGGTCTGGATCAGAAGGGCACCACGAAGGGTGCCGTGGATCAGAGTACCAAAGGTGCTGTGGATCAGGGTGTCAAGGGTGGCTTGGATCATAAAGGCAAAGGCAAGAAGGGTACCACGAAGGGTGCCGATCAGTCGGGTGGCAAAAGCTCGAACGGTGCTGCTGCTGTGGATCCGAGCAGAGATGACACCTCCCTTGATCATGGTGCCGCTGTTGCCCCGGATCAGACGTCTGGCAAGGGCACGAAGGGTAAGCCGACTTCCAAGGGCAAGACGGTTTGTGACCCGGTTGGCAAAGGCACGAAGGGCTCTGATGGCAAGGGCGAGACGAAGAGTGCTCCGGTTGGAAAAGGCAAGAAGGGCTCTGAGGATGGCAAGGGCAAGACGAAGTGTGCCCCGGTTGGCAAAGGCAAGAAGGGCTCTGAGGATGGCAAGGGCAAGACGAAGTGTGCCCCGGTTGGCAAGGGCAAGAAGGGCTCTGAGAATGGCAAGGGCAAGACAAAGTGTGCACCGGTTGGCGAGGGCAATGATGTTGCCACCGCAGATCAGACTGGCCACGCGAGCGAGGTTGGCAAAAGACCGGTCGAGAATGAGGAAGATGTCGATCGGAGAGTTCGTCGTCGTGTGTCTTTTGGTGGAGGACTGATAGTTTACACGCACACAACATGTGGCATCTCATGTTATTGGCATCGAAGCTAAAATGCAATATGCATGTTTGCATGCGCAGAAACCCAAACCTCGCTTGACGACGGGTCTGCTTGTCCATCGTTGACAGATACACCCACGAGGCTGCTTCGATGAAGTCAAATCAGACACATTCTTTATGATCTGTTTTAATCTCTACGAGACAGCCACCAAACCCAGCAACTTAGGTCAATCCTCCGAATGGACACTGGCATCTCGACTATGTCTGATGGCAACGGGCCTGTGGAGATGGAACCATTGGCCACCAGCGTGGATCTCCAGAGAATTCCAGACGCGGTGCCTCGTTTGCAGTAGCAAAACCCGAGCCAATTAAACCACATACACTAAACAACCGGTTCTACCATCGACTCATTCAGTCTTGGGCAGGATTGAAGGTCTAGCGAGTCTAGCTTTTTTTTGCCTCCTACATCACCAGTCTAGGAGTCTAGGGGTTTAAGGCTTAGGGTTTTTATTCTGAGGCAAGGCCGCTCACGGATGAGGAGCGGGCGCAGATTGAGGCACACATGCATGCACTGTCTGGACTAGCTCGTGAATTCGTGATATTGGCCCCCAGCCCTGGATCCTTACATGATGTCTTAAATCCTTTCAAGCCAGGCCCTGACCGGACCCGGCGACATCCCGCTTCAGCAACGCAAAGCCTTGAATGAATCCTTGAGACGAAGAATGAAGAATGGTCAAGGCGGGTTGCACAACTTCGATTATAATGACTGGTCTCAATCGATCGAGAACAAACTTACCTCATTTGAGGCCTACGGAAAGGGCTCGTGGCCCAATGATCGCCTATGTCATTTTACTCGATGAAACTTTTTAATGCTTCAGGTTCGAATTCCTCAAGGCTTTCCTCCTCGACCGAGAGAACCTCGCTTCCATCACCGTGGAGCCCTACTACGAAGAGTGGCTCGGCGACTTGATCATTCGCAAATCACAAACATTTGACAACTAGCATTTCTGGTGTTTGTCAGGCTATCGGAGACAAAAGACAAGGAAACCTTCACGGAGCTTCCTCTCTGCCTCATCAAAGAGAAGTACGAGCACTTGCCAGGAGGACCTGCCTTTATTAAGTCAATCTTGGACAGTGATTTGGCTCAGATTGCTTTCTGTTTGAAATATTCGTTCATGCACAAGCCCAACCTGTCCATCAGCATCCTATCCTCTACAAGCTAAGGTCAGACCGGAAAGAAGCATCCCCAGTCCGACTCGGAGAATATGATGATCTACAAGGTGTTCGACTCCATCAAAACTTCGAGTTGCTCGGTTGCCGCAAGCTGCTTTTTATAACACTGCACTTGTCGGTTGCACGATTATATAGCGCAGGTTCCAATATCAATCGATGTGGCAACCGCACGAGTGCCACCATGACGGCCTCCAACAACAAGGCCGAACGAACTGCGATCGCCGAGGTGCTCCAGGCAAAGGCCGCGAGCATGACGAAGCCCAGCACAGCCTTAGGGTCGAAAGGGAACAAGGGCAAAGGAAAAGGCAAGAAGGGCAAAGGCAAGAAGGACCGATTCGATCGGATTTGACTGTCTCTCGCTCTCTCCCTGCCTCGCTCTGATCCCTCCCTGTCTGTCAACTATCTCTCTCTCTCTCTCTCTCTCTCTCTCTCTCTCTCTCTCTCTCTCTCAAATCTTTATCTCTCTTTATATCTCTCTTTATCTCTCTTTCTCGCTCTCTCTCGCTCTCTCTCTCTCTCTCTCTCTCTCTCTCTCTCTCTCTCTCTCTCTCTCTCTCTCTCTCTCTCTCTCTCTCTCTCTCTCTCTCTCTCTCTCTCTCTCTCTCTCTCTCTCTCTCTCTCTCTCTCTCTCTCTCTCTCTCTCTCTCTCTCTCTCTCTCTCTCTATTGAAATATTTTATATCTCATCGGTCCCTCAACCCCATCTATATTGCTGCCAGGAACTGACACAAGAAGAACAGGACCGCCAGGGGTTTCGGAAGGACATCCAGGCGTGCACGACTCAGTCCCTCCGTGGTTGCCCCGAAGCCCCAAGTGAGCTATCAGTTTATATTTGCACCATGTATTCATGGATATGTGTTAATCGATATACAACCCAGGATTCGAGATCTTTGCGATAAAGCCGTGTACGTTGCCGCCGGCCTGGGTGGCTGTGGTCTTGCAAACCAGGAGGGCTTGATCGCCCAACTGGGAAAGATCACGCAGCAGTGCATCACCATTCGAGATGAGACTCTCTGCTTCAACCAAACCCGAATGGTTCCTGAACCCAAATCAAACCCGAATGATTCCTAAGCCCCCAAACCCTCGAACTCATACAAGCTTGAACAACCCCGTCGGCGAGCTCAGGATGCAACAGATGGTGTTCGATGCGAAGCCACTGGAAGAATGCTTGGAGAGTATGCAGCATTACAAGCCCCAGCTTCAGGAGCCTAAACCCTTTAACCCCAGACCCTAAACCGTGACAGAGCAAATCAGTATATAGACGAGCCACTCGATTCATCCCGTCAGGATTTCCAGATCCAGGTGAATGATGCCGAAGGAATTTGGCAGGGCCAGGAACGACGTTCCTTGTGCATTACATACTGGCACTGTGGACCCCACACTCCTCTAATCCCAAAACCCCAGAGTGATTGTGTTGCCACACAGAGACCATACACTAAACTTAATTTGAACCAAACAAAACCCAGACCCCTAATCTATTGTTGAAGCATTAAGCCACAAACCCCAAATATCGATCTGAAGCCCAGAGCATACCAAAGTCCAAACCCTACATCCTGTCCCGAACTGCAGACTCGAGACACCTCAAATGCCGAACTCGATTGTACATCCTGACCACCCAATTTGCAATCTCAGGCAAAGCTTCGGCGAAGAGAAAGTTAGAGAAGGCCGAGGAGAAGAAGAAGAAAGAAGCGGCCAAGGCCGCAGGTGAGGAAATGGAGGAGGACGATGATGCAGGACAGCCGGATGAGGAATGGGATGATATGGAGGAGGAGAATAAGTACTGGGAGGAGGGTGCTGACTAAGCCGATATCTTTCTGCACTAGCGCCTAAGGCTGCTGATGTGTACGTACGATCGTGTTTGCTCGAGTTTGTCGAGTGTGATCTATATTTCTGGGGCGGTTTGTTCGCAAGCACAAGCAGCAGATACTCAGTCATAGAGTGCATAAACTCATGCTGCGTGTGACATAATGCAACAAGCCGATGGGTCTCGTGATCCCAAGCATAAGAATTGCAAAGGGATCACTAGGGGTGATGTGTGTCATCGTCGTTTGCTCTGCCGTGCAATAAAACTCTGAGCTGCACATTGTTCGGGCCCGGCCTGCGCAATCGATCGTCGGATCCATGCAGCTCAAATACCTCAGCTTGGCTTTACGAAGAATTGTCTGAGCCCCTAGCAACCCCAACAGCCTTGGCACTTTATGTCTGAACCCTGGGCTTGCACAGGGCGAAATGCAGCATAATCCCCGATAGTAGCATTAACAACTTCAGACCCAATGTTGCACACCGTATTCTATTCTATAACAACCCCCGATGCCTAAACCCTAAACCCACGTGAACCCCTGGCCCGTTGTACTCGATCAGCAAGTATAGCTGAAATTGAAACCACATCCTATGCCGAACCCTATGCAAAACTTAAATGGGACACTTGATTCTGAAAAGACCTACGAAGTCCGAAACGTTGTGGCACCAGCAACCCCTATCGCTCCCCGAATCGCATAGCTTCCGTATTGTGATGACACTGGCATGGCTTCGGATTCGGCTGCCAATTGGGCAGAAGAATATGTCCAGAATACTTGCGATGATATTCTACGACAGCTTTCACATGGGAAGGCTCCTCGGCTTGGTTTGCTCCAACCCACCAGACTCTCTTCGAACCCTTATGCCCCAAACCTATCTATCTCAATTGGAGGTCCCGCTGGAAGAGCTAGACAAGTCGCTGGATAATCTACGCCAGCTACCACATGCTGTGGTTCCGCATTTCGGATGAATGACCAACTGGTATAAGTGACCGTGTACATGTACTGCACTAGGTTGATCCTTAATTAATGGACAGCAAATCAGTCGAGGAGAGATTTGCTGCAGTTAGCGCATGCCTTCGAGAACCAGAACGCCTGGGGCAAGATGAGAGCCCTCACACGCTGGTGTGATCGTCAACCTTGGAGGTCGACCTTGCCTCGACCGTTTTTGCAACTCAGCTAAACATTATTCGAAGCGAGATGCATCAGTTCATGTAGACGTATATAGCCTTGATCGGTGCCGTCCTGAGGATCCAAATGAAGGCTGAGTATCCAGATGCTCATGGCAAAACCTCCCGACTTGTTGATCACCATATGCTTCTTCCACATGAGATCATCGGCTCATTCTACAATACGAACAATCTGCAACTTGTGATTGGGCGAGTGGCTGGCTTGCACATTGGAAGTTCCGTTGTGTGTATTTGAGTAGCCAAGCCAAAACATGTACGTATGGAGCATGCGTATAGGAATACATATATATATACACATTACACATACAAACAGACATACATCCCGACATACCTACATACCCACATAGCTACATACACGTATACCTGCATACACACAAACCTGCACGCATAGACACCTACACACATACATACCTACATACATACATATATGACATATATGTTTGCAAACATGAACTGAATCAAAAACAATACTTGTAAGGACGAGGAGCTTCTGGAGTATTGGGCGGAACTCTCGGGTACAGATTGGTACCAGAAACATCCACTCCTCCAGGTCTGGGCTTGTAGCGCATGCGCATTCTTCATTTCGATTTCTTGTGATTCTGATTTATACCAGGAGAACGATCTACGGTTTTGCATTCCGTTGCGGCTTTACGGCGACGGGGCTGAGTCGCACAGCCACTTGGCATGGGAGATGCTGGGAGTTCGATTATTGTTGTCATTGCACTCCTAAAAATCAGGACATCAATACTTCGAGTGCTTTGCACTCCTGGCTCCTCTTGGATCCTCCTCGACTATGGAATCTCGATTCTTGCATCTCGTTTGTATTTATCAGAACTAGCACAGCAACGACTGCGACAGGACACATATACATATATGTAGACATATATGCATATCGACACACACACACGCACAAACAAAAACATGCGCACATTGTATGCATTCCAGGACCGAGCATGAAAACCCAAAGCCCTAAAGAACCGAAAGCAACACCTACCGAGGCTGAGCTGTATGAATATGGCCTACCACTCGGGGAGCTGCCGTCAGACAATACTCCGGGTACTAACGTGGTCGTTCAATTGCCTGGGCCACATAGCTGAATTTTGTGGTGCTACTTTTTTTATTTTGGGAATGGGTCTCAATCGGTTCTATGAACAATGTTTCTAGCTTGTAGACTTATAGTTGCAGGTGCCGGGGAATATCCCGCGACTGATCCATGGAACAACGAGTTCTCTTCCTCCTATATGCCAGAACGCTATAGACTAGCTGGCCAGCGCATAGCCGGTCCGTACATCGGCATTATGGATGGAATTCAGTCAGATTTGGAGTTTACGAAAAAGGTTTTCGCTCTTCAAAGCTGCTCGGCAGCACGCCAAGGCCTGTAGTTCGTAAGATACTAATATGGTAGTGTTCCCGAACAAAAACTTTGCATGCCGGGCCGAGCCACCCAAGGAGACTACTCGCGGAAGATGATGTGCCCCTTCTGCAAAGACCCTTGGCTGCAACGTCAACGAATGAACAAATGGTCCTGGTTTACTTATAAGGTTTAGGGTTCAGGGTTTGGGGTTCTATATTTCGAGAGGCAATAGCCAATATGCAGGCTCTGCAATGGACATACCAGTTCGGAGATGATGATGCTCCGAATGACGAGGAGTTGTTGTATACAAACTTCGGAAGGCATGCAGCGCACAGGGAAACGCTTCTTGGATCATATATGTGCGTGCACATGACTGCCTGCTTTGTTATAATGCACCCCTCATCCCAATCTTGATTCAGAAGGCTGATATCCGATGCCGCTGATTTCGTCCAGATACATGGCAATTCCCCGTTGACCGAAATCATCGGGTTCCACCCGTTTCGCAACCTGGCAGCACCCATCATCGATTTGAGCCTTGCCTTCTTACCATTGAATCGAGAGGCATCCTGGGTGATATCATGCACATCGTGCACCTCGCGATTATACCGGATATCACGGTTTCCTTATTGTGTGATTTGTCAGACGGCCCCGGCCGCGACCAGAAGCTCCAGGAGCTTTTCTCCCACTATCGCAACTGGTGCGAATCACAGAGAACCCTAGATGCAAAGAAATGATTGCAACCTGAACTCCCTAATCCACAAAACCAACGGCTACATACGATTCTAATATTCCGAGGTGTTCCAGACCGTGCACGCCAGAAGCTTTTTTCGGTGGCAACCCTGAAACCCACTAGTCGAGAATACCGAACGGTGTCTCAAAAGACTTTGTCTGCAACGGCAGCTCGATATCTGCTGATGTGGTGGGCTGCATACATGCGGATGCTCCTGGACCACGACCCCACTGATGAGTTTGTTCAGCCACTTCGGCGTCCATACTATTTCTCCGGTGTGCTGATCTGTATGTTTGTGCAAACGCGCAAGGCAAGAGAGGAGAGAGAGAGAGAGAGAGAGCGAGAGATAAACCAGAGTCCTAGATTCCTAGACCAGCAATCTGATTTCCTTCGGAACAAATTAAGGCTGCGAGCGGCGGTGTGCCTCTCCTTGGCGAGAATGGAGGAGCTGATGCTGATTCACCGGTAACTCGATTGGCATTATTCTTCTAAGTCGGCACTGATATTAGAATTATCCGCTAGGGCTTGTTATTTATTCCGCAGGCGGCTCTTGAGTACTGCTGCCAGCATCGAAATGGAAGCGCTGTATCTGGTCTACCGTGCTGCATACAATAAGCTTGCAAGTTCCGCCTTGACTGCAAAAGTTTGCAGGTGGCCAATGCGCCCTAAAGTTCACATGTTTGAACATATGGTCTACGACTACCGTGGCACCAATGCTCAGTGCCTAAACGGCCGTTTTTGCCAGAATTACTTATGCGAAGATCTCATGAGGCGAGTTAAAGAGATAGCAGTTGGGTCGCACCCAGCGTATCTCTCGAAACATGTCATTTTCAAATATTGCCTCCAGATGACGCTCAAATGGAGGTGAAAGAAAACACGATATTGCACGTAAAGGTTTGCAACTTCGTCATGGTGCATTCCAATTCAAACGCTCGCTCTGTTTGCTCAAGGGCATGATACAAATAGGAAGTGCGCAGTATTCTATGGATGGGTATTCAGATATGTTGACCATATCTATATCTACTAGAGTTTATACTTGGGGCTTCGCTAAGTTAGAAACATACTTGAGTGTTTGGTAGTTTTTATCGCCGGCCGATGATCCCGAAGCTCGGATTCAAAGATTGTTTCCCTTCTTTGAACTCTCTTGGAAACAAAAAAACTGCCGAGTCAATATCGAGCGATGATATTTGAGGTGATCTGGCTTACATGCGAATAACTATACGTATCTTGATGGGTGCTTCGATATGGCAAGTGGCGCAACTTGGTGGCATTTCGAAGCCTGACAAGTTCTATTATATGGTTAACCACGCCCCATGATGGATGTACGCATCTGGTTTTCTGAGAAGTCACACAGCTATAGGTGTCTGTGTGTGCTGGAAATAATAAACTAAGTAGTGTGGTTGGACTCATATAATTACAAAATTGGGATACGAAAAATAGGTTTCATATGTGAAGTAGCCCTTATCTAGGATATGCAAATGTTTCAAAACCCAACAAATTCATTCTAGTCTAAGCAATCCTATAAGCCCATTGGACAGAATGGGAAACCCGAAACACTAATTGACCCTAGCCCAATAAAACCCTAAAGTGCGCCAGCCTTACATATAAGTTGGCAGATCGAATACACCAAGCGAAATCCATCCCAGGTTCCAAATCCGAATACAACTTGTGGAGCCTTGGCAACATATTGGTGTGGTGCAGAAAATGCTTTGACTTGAAGCATGGCTATCAAACCAATGTTGCTGAGGCTGTCGATCTGAACTATACCATGAGCAGGGACCGATGGCAGCAACAGCCTGCTTATACAGTTCGACTCAGTTAGAAGTCGAAGTGACAGCTGATCTCTTTCAAGACAACGGTTCAGAACTATACAAATACAGGTAACCTTCAGGCTGTGAACACATGTAAGTACTTATATATAAATATATACTTGTATACATATGTATATGTGTGTACATTTATATACATATGTACATTTTATGTAATTTATACGCATGTGTGTATGTACTTGCATACGCATGTATGTATATGTACATTTACACATACACATACATATATATGTATGTATACACATATGTATGCACACGTATAGAATTATAACGAAAGCATCTATATATATATATATATATATATACATATATATATATATATATAAATATGTAATACGCGCTTTCGCACGTATGTGTAAACAAACTTACGAATGTACATATACAGCTGCCTAGATGTGTATGTATATATATATATATATGTTTATATGCAGATACGTAGAAAGATACGTGTACCCCCATATATATATGCACAAAAACCGTTGAATATGCATATAGACGTATGGCTGCGTGTATGTATGTGTGTATGCATGTATGTAGGTATTTATGAATGTATGTATAGTTGCACAATAGTGATGGTCGTATTTATAGTCATATTATGCATATGTAAGTAGCATGTATGTATGCATGTATGTGTATATATGCATTTTCTGTAATCATGCATACACGTACAAATATGTATTTATATACACAATCTCATATATATATATATATATATATATGTTGGCACGTATTTGTTTACCCACATATATATGGGTAAACAAATATACCGGGCGCCTCAACCCCATACCCAAATCCCATGGCCTAACCCCTAGACGTTTTGTGTTGCTTTTTTGGCTCGTGGCTCAATTATGACAGCCTGCTCGTTGAGCTGTTGTCTCGTAACTTCAACTTTCTCGAAAAAGGTACTGTGTGGCTCAAGTATCCGCCCCTGTTCTCAGACATTGTGCAAGGACGACGGCTTTGCTCCCGGTGTAGCTCGGCTATTGACGACGATTGACTTTCGATCGTGCCTTTGTGGACAATGTTGTATCACACATCGAACGGCCGGTTAAGCTGAGCGGCTGCTCCGCTGGGGTATCTTTGGAAGCGGCTGTTCCCAACGGCCGGACGGCCCGTGCTGGCAGGGGGCGATCACCGCAGACAGCTGCGCGAACTGCTGGATGTGGTCTGGACCTTCCACGCGAGCACGCTGGGTCCGACAGGCCTGGATCGTGCTGATCAGAGCGGGCCCGAGATGTGGCTGACTGTGAGCCACGTGCCAGGCACCGAAGTCCTCCCGCACTTGAGATCGATCCGGTTATTGGCGTCCCGGAACCGAAACTCAACACGATCGGCGTCGTTCCCATAGCCTTCTCGGGACGAGCGTTCTGTCACCCTGAGCTCACAAGTGCTCATGGCATGGTCGCTCGCCATCACTGCTCCTCTCGGGCCGATCGTGTAGACTCGGGCTCCAACCTCGAACGAGGTCACGGAGACCTTCCATCCAACGAAGACCGAGATGACGATCGAGGGTCGGAACCATCCTTCGTTGGCTGACCGGATCAACACCTCGTCGCAGAACTGCTGCTGGACAGAAAGATCCGAGTCCGAGCGGTAGCCCCTGAAGACCCAATGGAACAGGACCTCGTTTCCATTGAAGACCTTCACATCCACATAGGTGGCCGAGGTGTCGAACATCACCGGCCAAGTGAAGGGCTGGAAAGCCGGGTGCGATAGCGCCCGACTCGCGTAGGAGTCCCACTGAGCACATGGTCCCCCTGTTTTCGAAGACATCGAAAAGAGCAGAACGGCCTTGATGCCATCGAGCGTATAGTTCGCGAACAGCGAACAGTGGTAGCCCGAGTTCGGGGGCATGACCGAGTCCCGCTCCGTCAGCACATTGATCGAGCTGGCGGCATTCGAGATGATCTCCTCGGCCAGCCAGTTCTGGAACGGGGAGATCACCCGGTCATCGCGGTTGTCGATGACGAGGAGCGAGTTCTGGGTCTCGTCCTCTTCCTCGACCACGAGCTGGCGAACGAACTCAGGCCGCTGAACAGCGAAGGGGTTGTGAGCAGCAGGAGCCCCACGGTCACGACGTCCACGACGATCGTCGCGACCCCAGCCTCCAGAGCCCCAATCGCCGGATGCGGCAGCTGGAGCCGCGGGATTCTCGGGAGCCTCTGCCTCGCCTGGAACGTAGTGTCCCCAGTTACCCGGATTCTCAGGCTGACCAAGCCGGCGAGGCAACCCGAACTGTGGGGCCATCGGAGCCGCCATCTGCCGACCTTGATGGAAGCCAGCGGGAGGGAACGACATGGCTGCAATCGAGCGAGCCTATTCACTTCCACCTCCCACGCCGAATTTTTCGGTATGGCCCGATCGGCTATCGCCAAAATGGCCACGGAGAAGATAGATCAAGTCTGTTCCAACGATCGCGAAACTGATCTCCTAATTCCTACCCACCAGACCGATAATTAGGAGACATATATATACATACATACATACATACATTGCATGCGCAATCATGTTCATCGTTTATGCGAACTAGCATAATACATATGGTAACACCCGGAAAACTGATTCCCTGATGTTTACTGATTCTACTGTACCGCCCCATGGGCCAGTCCCAAATGGTTCTGACCCACGGATAGGTTTTGGGGGCTCTTAATCATAATCGGGGACTTGGGGACCGTGCAGGAAGAAGCAGCCAAAGCGTTGCCCTTCGAGTCATGACAGCTTCAAGCGGAATGAGAGACTAGGCTCCGCCTACGAGTATTCTGGATTTAAGCTCTTGTCTCAACTGTGTAAGCATCACCACTAGGTCACCACGACACACTGGCTTGGCCATGTCGCAATCAATCAATAACAGTCTCTTGCTGCCACTACCCTTTAGAACGTCACCCCATCGGCATCCATCTGCTGTGAGCCAAAAACGCGATGGAGGCCGGCCGACTTCCATTCGCTTCGACACATGCCTTGCACTACAAGTCACATGGCCTCTAACAAATTCTGTCAAAACAAAACCTAGCCCGGCTCGACAAGTCAGAACAGTCACGTCGGAAATCCCGCACAAACTCAGCCCTGAGGCCTCCAAGCCGGCAGCACCTCTGCTTGCGCTCGATTCAAGCTCTGGGTGCGTTGGCTTCATAACGGCATGAGACTTGCTCAGCAATTTCCCCTTGAATGTTCTGGGTAATCTCAACTTCCCCAGACCTCGCCTAGGTAACTTCCCAAAGCAGCAAAACGGACGAGATGGCTCATTGCAGCCGGAATCAAGCTTCGTTCAGACGCCCGTTCGCGAGTTGTGCCACCAATTGTAGGTTGAGACATGTTGAGACTGCTTTGTGACAATTGTACCAGACTGCAAGCTGCATGTTCAGGGCCTTGGTGTCGGAGCAAGGCTGTACTGGTCTGGCGCTTACAAACTAGATCTGCACATGAGATTCTTGAACATAAGAAAGGGCTGTATCGGAGTGTGAATCTCACGAATGTCACAGCTCGCTTCGGCAATCACCTCGTAACCAGAAGCTGCGTCGTGCGACTTGCGCTACGCAACAACAGGAGAATGAAGCGCCAAACTTCTGCAGCATGAAACGGCGTCTAAGCAGATGCATCGGGCTGGGAGCAGGCGCTGTTCCCACTAGTCGCACCACCGCCACTGCAGAAGAAATAACAAGTACTATTTACTATTTACTAGTAGAACTCCAGCCAGTGATGTGGTACTGTCGTGCTTCCTAATCGTCGCTGTCGGAGAATTGCGACCACTACTACAATTCCTGCTGCTGCAACCCCGGCTGCAGCTGCTGCGACGACGCGGACGACGACCACTACTGGTACTACCGGTGCTGCTGCTACTGTATACTGCATACTGTACGAACTGGCATAGGCAATCCCATGTGCGATTGAACGGAACCCAAGCAGCATCGCATCAGCAAAACCAGATGCCTGACAAGCTTGACAATGCAAGCAGAACTTATGGGGAGAAACAGCACCAGTCGCGGTACCGTAAAGGCATACAACACTATGCCAAAATAACATTTTTCCTGTAGCAAGTGTTCAACCCGCGATGTCGCGCTGGACCTAACAGAAACCAAAAACTTAAGTCCAAGGCCTTAAATGCTGAATATACAAATCCCCAAGAAAGTCAGAAGAGGAAAATTTGGGACCTTGCACCACAAACCCGCACGCTCATTTCTTCTGCCTCTGTATCCTCAAAGCTGATTCGGTTTACAGCCAGCGAGACAGCTGAGGAGTGGAGGCTGCTCTCTGCATCTCGGAAGAAGCCAGCAGAAGTTAGTGGGTCGCCAAAACCTAACTTCATACGCCTACACAGAATGGAAACCCTGTGCTACATTTTGGATTTGTCTGCAGGCTTTTTGCTGAGAGCCAAGGAGTTGACAAGGTCGTGCACCTCCACCAAAAAGCGAGTCTCTGCGGCCTGGAAACTGCCTGGGTACTATCTGGGAGTTGGCGCTCTTCTCCTGGGAGGAGCCCATAAAGCCAGCAAACCACTACAGCAAGAAACTAAATATGCCTGTGCTCATATTTATGTATGTATGTATGTATGTATGTATTATGTATGTATGTATGTATGTATGTACGTAGGCAATGTATATACTACGCTGTGCACGTGAATGTGTATGCGTATGTGTATGTAAATATGCATGTATATACTGTAGATATGTATGTGCATCTATCCATCTATATATATATATATATATATATATATATATACGTCCATTTTTGTGTGTATGTGTAATTATATAGAACTGGACTGAACTAACTATATCTACACCACCGAAAGGATCCAGTGAATCGCCATCACATGAATGGGCAGACCTCACTGGTCCGTGCCATCCACCAATCCGTCGGCTTGGCGCCGCTCGTCTGACTCGCAGGCGCACTGCTCCCAGTCCTCCGGCTTTCAGGGGGGTTAGGGTTTAGGATTTGGGGTTTGGGATTTAAGGTTTAAGGGTTTGGAGTTTCGGAAAGTTCAAGTGTTGTCTCGTTAGTCGAAACCGTTACTGTTTTGGAAAATTGCTACTAAAATTACTAGAGTACTCTTGCTTTCAGAACTTCTCGTGGCTACTTATATCTGTATCTCTCCACAACTATGATCTCGGCTAACGAAAGCTACTTCGTGGTGAACAAGGCCTTGGCACCCGAGCCCTTGACGAAAACCCTGCGGCTCACGTTTTAGAGTTTACCGGTCATGGACTTGCTTTTTGCATTGCCGGGTTATAAGTGGTTGAACTGCACGAAGCCGAAAAAAACAAGACAAAAAGTGCTCAAAATGGCTCAGAAACAAGCTGATGGAGAATCATGAAGAAGGCCGCCGCAGCCAGAGAGGTGCCGAACACCATGGAGTACCACATGCCTTTTTGGACACCCGCTTAAACTTCAAACTCTCATCATCAGCGCCCTAATGCCTGAAAGACTTTGTCAAACTTTAACCGTTCGGCACCAGTTCGTCTTAGACGCGAGAATATCAACACGGGGCCCAGCCTTGCACGCCGAAGTCGAAGGGCCATGCCAACACGCAGCCCAGCGGAAGCATCACCGCATAGAAAGAAACCAAGTAGATGACTACGGCCGTGGTTTGCCTTCCTTGCAAGTAGGTATGCTGAACTGTACTGCACTAGACTAGAACCGAATATACTATACTTGTAATTGAGCTACACTAAACTATGCCAGCATTCACCAAACTGCATGATACCTTAAACATTGTCAAAGATCAGCGCGAGTCGAAAGTCGACTAGTAAGGTCGAAAAAGGGTTGAGGGGCCAGGGGCCCGAGGGATTGATGAGTTCAAGTGTCCCGCGCCCCGGAGAGTGGAGCCCATCACGTTCTGAGCGCTGTCGGCGTATCCCGCCAGAACGTAGATCATCAGCAGCTTCTGAACTAAGGACTGTACCTCTTTGGATTGACCAAGAGTATTAAGCCGAAAGGCTTTCCCTGCACTCTGCTAAAGGAGCCTCCAAGTCGGAGGCCAGCAGCCGCGGGATGATGCTCCGCAGAGCAAGCAGGAGCAAGGCTAAGGCGCTCCACACCACGACGCAAATAGACACACAAAACCTGGAAGCCAGATTCACTCCTAATCCGTGACTGAAACTCGTGAGCATCTATGCCTTTATCATTCTTTATCTCTACATGGACGAAAATTTTAATCTTGAGATTCCCCTACATGTAGGCAACAGAGCGGAACCTAGGCCAGGCAAAGGAAGGTTAAGATTGAACCAGGCAGGGCCCAGGCACCAGGAGGCATCCCTCGCCTTCTTGGTGAGCTGAGCTCCAAGAGCAGTTCCGACCACGGTGGCCGCGGCCATTCCCAAAGACATGGTGGGCATCGCCTGGATGGGGGCTTCCGTGACGAGGACGAGGCTTTTTTTGGAGTTTGGGGTCACCACCAGCAGATGTACCCCCATTGCTCTTGCAACTACGTCATCAGCTGCCACCACACCTCACCACGACTGAACACCGGGCAAAACATAAAAGCCGTCTACTGAGCACCCCGGGTAGCCAGTACCGTCACCAAGTTCATGGCAGCCACATGCGCGGCCAGGGCCGTGGGGCCCAAATATCCCATGACGAGCGCACAGATCTCCCAAAACCAGAGCTCACTGCAAACCTGGACCTCAATGGCTCTGTGAAGACTTGACAAACAAGGCCGAACTCTCTGCGTGACAAATACCAACACTAAAATGAAAGCCCTGTTAGTCAATTCCATGATACTGTTGCGGGGAGGGCTACTTCCATGTAGCTTGACCATTGGCGGAAAGCATCCTTCTGGACAAGCAGCCTGGACACAAGACAACTGCAAGCGGCAGGCCCAGAAACGAAGGAAGAGTGTTTTCGCATGAGCTGCCGCATGGGGCTTTGAGGCATGGAGCCAATGGGATATTCTCGAAGAGCCTGATCAGCGAATGCATGTCGGGTCAATCTAAGGTCCGACATGTCAGGATTGGAACTGGTCGGCAAAACATCACGGTTCTTCACGGTGTAGCGCACCCGGTACGGTATGCTAGTCAATAAACTTCCATGCTCATCTTCTCATAAATGATCTCCGAAACATGTGCCATCCTCCGCCAAAGCAACAGTTGTCGTGGCGTGGCATGGAGCTCGGATGCCCGGCTAAGCAAAAACGCAGACCCGATGAGCCACTGAAGGGTCCAAGTCAGGGCATTAGCCGCTCCTGCACCCATGTTGCCCCACTGGAACCTCGCTTTGGATGGGGCGGCTTCCTAACAAAATGCCTAGTCCCCTTCATTCGGGTATGGTGCCAGAGGTACAGTCTGGCAGAGTCTAGCGATAGTTGGTTAGCAACCAATCTGAGTCTGTCAGACTCTGTGCTATGCAGCTATGTCCTACTTTCAATGTCTTTCCAACACAATAGATTCAATAGTTTACGGCGCTCAGTTTGGCATTTTGGGCCTGGCATGGCCTAGCGCTTAGTTATTCAGGCCAGTGCCGCTATTGGGGCGATCACTTCCACGGTCGCCAAGCCGAATGCAACGCAAAGTGTGGAACTGGAAAGACGAGAAGCACCACCACGAAGAGTATGGCCCACGCCACATGCAGGAGGCTCGTTGCTGTGGATACCCACGGAGGCAGTGGCATCTCCATGTTCTGTAAATATGACACGATGACCTCAAGGGAAGCTCCTCAAGTCTACACCTCAGCCCTCTGTGGGCCTCGCCTGGTACTGGAAGTTTCCGAAGAGTCCAAAGACAGCCGCACGATTGTAAGCAGCCGCACATCTCGAGACGCCTTCATGCTGGCCTTGCTGGAAGCTTGGGTTAAAGAGTCCCATGTTTCAAGTTCTGTGTCAGGTACATTACCTGGCCCTGTCGATGAAACACAGAGCAGACAGAGAGAGAGACAGAGAGTTTAAAAAAAGCAGGGTTGAAAAGCTAGGGTCACCGCTCGATTGGGCTGTGGTGTGCCAACTCTCAAAGCTCAACTCACTTTAGCTTTCGAGTTGCAGGCTTGGGGTCGCAGAATACTTCCCAAAAGGCAAAAACAGATGGATCGAAATCCTCAACCTCGGTAACCCAGGAGGCGAGAAACCCAGCGCCAGGAGGATGGGATCAGTGAACCAGAGCAACGGAATCATCCAAACCAGCTGCACTGCCGTGACAAGGCGGCTGCGCTGGAGATATTGCGTGCCTTACTTCCCGGGCTCATGGACATGAAGGATAAAGACTCGATTTCCAGCCCTTTGCATCTATCCATTCGCCTGACACAATTGCCAAGCTTCCAGTGCAAACTTAATCACATTTGGGTGTTGGACGAGCGGAAAAAACAGATCTGTGCTGTGTATGTGCTATGATGTGCTCTACTCAACTCTGAAAAGCACATCATACTCATACAGATGAGTGCGATCCGGCCGTGCCCGAAGGAGACACTTCGGGACGGAGAAACTCTCGATCAAAATGTCACTCGTGCAAGTCAGGCGCACAGCGAATGCTCTCCCGCACCGTTCGCCTGGCTGACGAATGTATCCAGGGCGCTGGTTAGGCCCATGCCAATGGTTAGAGCACAGCAGTTTTGTATCCTTGGCTCTGGTACGGTAGCAACAGAAAGCGGGTGGAACCATCAGGTCAAAGATTCCAGGATACCCTACGAAAGATCCTTTTGTAGGAGGGGGTGCTCATGAGAGGATTCGCATCCGAGAGTCATGTTGCCCAGACCCACGGCTGCCAGCTGTTGGGAATCCCCAACTTGGCCCAAGCAGACTGTGTTGACGAACTCGTTGAGCAGCATCGTGACGTCACTTACCATCATGGGAAACCAGAGTGGCCAGATTTCTGCCAGCAGCTGTCTTCGCGACGGCTGCGCCTGATACACTTTGCCGGAGAAAGCTGCACTGCGGGCTTGCCCTAAGCCCCCGCCAGTAAAGTCTAGACGAGGCCCAAACCTCAAACCACCCGAAAGCCTTCTGAGGTTCTCTTCTCATCTGGCCTCCTGTGCCTCCGCCAGGAGTGGCTCCTCGGCTTGTTTCTCGGCCATCACGAAGCACACGGGCCGGCGGGCTGCCTGCAGGAAGATCTACCCGTGCATCGCCGGCCTGACACAGCGGTCTGCTCCCCAACCAAAAAGCACGCAGGCCTGACTCGCCTGGTGAGCCGCTTGGGGGGGACGGCCCCGTGCTGTTGAACCACAAGTAAGACGAAGCAAAGGCAATCACAGGTACATGCTGAGCACACATTGCTCCCTGGCCGATATATCCCCACCCGGTAACCTACGGCACTTTTTGCTTGAGACGGCTCAGCTCTGCCAGCGTCCAGAGAGTCAGCCTGGGGTAGTTCGCAGAGCTGACGAAGCCAGTAGGGAAACACAATGCTCTCAGCCTCCTGGAAAAGCCTTCGATGCTAGCGACCCGCCATACCGAAACTTGAACCAAGGCCAAGGAGCCTTCGGACCTCGAACGCCCATAGTATTCCTGCAGGTATGTCAACAGTGGCAGGACATGTTGCTCTCGAACTTGTCTTCCGTTATTAAGGCCGTGATCGCAGGGCCATGTCGTCCCCTCCGTACATACAGTACTCTGCCCGTTCTCCACACTTCTGTAGGAAGTAAAGGTGGTGGTCCTCGTATCTCGCCTCTTGCCATTGCCGAATCCATTCCTCTTCGTCGAACTGCTGTGCACCTTGCGTGCAGCCCGTCTCGAGACACTGAAGATCGCACGAAGCCGAAGATTTGAGGAACCCATTTACCCGCTGTGCGGCGGCATCGGAAGTGACGGCAACTGTTGTATCACTTGGCGGAACTATCCCTGCAGAGGCCCGGGCCGTAGTCCAAATCCAGGTCAAGGTCCCAATCCTCATATGGGTCAGCCGTCCTCACAATGTCAGATCGCAGCTGTACAAGCACACCGACATGGGTATCCTTGTTGCTCAAACTCTGCTCCAGCAAACTGCTTATCCGAACAACGGTTACAGCCACAGCATGCCACAGCTGTGTCCTGCCGTTCATGTAGTCAATGTACGCCTGAAGAGATTCGTGCTCCTCTTCCTCGGCACCCAAATTCGGACCCAAATGCGGAATCTGACGAATGTCCCAGCTGTGAGGCAAACCGCCCGTTTGTGGTGGTCACTGTACCAATGTTTTGTCAGGACATGTGGCTTGCGGGCTTCAGATATTCGGAAAGTTCATGATTCAAAGCTTTGAGTTCGGGCACGTTCGTTGGGCGCTGAAGCGATGTCATGGAAAAGTCGCAAGGTCAGAACATGTTGCTTGCACACAGCCTTTGAAGGCAGGAAATGTATCGCTTCGTTGTTTCTAGCTGTTCGTGTCCTTCCGGGACCAGGAAGATGCGGGACCTGGAGTGTTTAGCTTGCAAGGTGTGAAATGGTGTGAAGACCATAAGGGACTTGTTGGTATGATGCGACCGGTACATGGACTAGTTTGGCGCTAAAGTCGGGTGAAACATGGCACAGTCTGCTCACACAAACGACCTTGCCTCCTACGTACTCATGCTGCAAGTCAACTGGTGGCGTCTATTGGTGCAGTTACTGATTAAGTCGCATGGCGGAAAATGCACAATGACCGCTGACCACAGCCTCCTCTGCATGATACGAGTACGTTGCAGACACAAGCACGCCCAACCGCAGGAAAGAGAATTATCAAGGCCGCGGCTATCTTCGCGATAGGTACCATTGTTTGCACGTCGGAGTCCATCTCCTGAAGAGCCGTACACCTTCAACGCTGCACTGCGACTCTAAGCCCTGAACTGAGAACCCTCAAAGATTTAGGACCCTTATGGACTCTGCTGTCCTCTTCACTCGAGGGCGCGTAGAAAAGCAAGTTGGTGGGATCCACCTTCCAGAAGCTCCTCGGCGCAGGACCGCTCTCTATAGTCTCCACATGGCTAATTTCAGCGCAAACATCTAGTTGCCCTGCAAAAAGAAGTCTGTATACAATGCATCTGACATAATCATAGCAATTGGCATCCTGGTGGCGAAGCTTTGTCCTAATGATCCTAATGATGCCTTAAAACATGCGAATTTGACATTCTATGGGACACGTGTGTGTGTGTGTGTGTGTGTACAATAGACGAACAGAAACTTGCGGACCGAGCGCCTTCCGTTTCGGGCCAACCAGTTTGTGAGGGTAAAGTCCACCTGACCGGAAACATCACGGAATATTGCAGTCACTGAGGGCCCCAACTAGTTCTATTCACATGCTCTGTTGTCTCGAATATCCTTCTGATAACCTGTGATCGTTTCCGACGGCATCCAAATCTAGTGGCAGTGGCGACGACTCTAATTGTTCTTGCCTCATTTCACCCGCATCTCCGGCCCACTGATCGCAGAAGCAGGCTGCACGGGGCTGTGCCCATGGCCACCACCCCGCTACTACCAGCACCAACACGAACACAAGCACCACCGCCACCACCAACAACAACAAGACCTGGAAGAAGCACAACAACAGCCACACCACGTGGCGAGCCAGGGCAACCGTGGGTCGAGCGCACTTCGCCAGGAATTAGAACATGAAATTCCACTTCGCAATCCACTGCTGTCCGAAAACATACTGACAACAGTAACAATACTATGATGTCTGTAGCCGGAAAACCACACTAGGCACACAAGCAGCAAACGCCACCCCGCGACAGCACTTTTCACTGCCGAAGAGGCAGCGACGAGAAAGTAACCCGTGTGTCCAGCTGCGACTCTGCAGAGACAAGCTCACGTGTCCATGAGCTCACCTGTGCCTTATAGATTCGGTGAGCATAAGAACACAGGTCGTCCCTTCCCGGCTGTTCGACTGTCCATACGCATGACCGAGAGTTCCGAGTACCTTGAGCGACGCATTAGCAGCAGACACGAAGTAGACCAACAACAACTCAAAAAACAAGCACACCAGCAAGCACAATCATAACCACACCCACAAGAAGAAAAAGAAGAAGAATAATAACCAAACAAGAACAACAAGAAGAACGACAACAATAGCAGAAGCAGCAGCCACAACACCCAAGACGACGACGGCCGACCACGGCTACTTCGACCAAAGCGACTATGCCAGTGGCGGCAACGACTGTGAGGCTGCTGCTGTTGTTAATGCTACTACTTCTGTTGCTACTGCTGATGGATGCTGATGCTGTTGCCACTGACATTGCCACTGCAAATGATAACGACGATGACGACGACGACGAACACACTACTGCTGCGACGACGACGACGACGACGACGACGACGACTACTACTACTCCGCATCCTACTGCAACTGCTACTGCCGCTGTTTTGCTGTGGCGACTGCTACTTCTCATAGGCATCTATCTCGACCATCAGTGCAGACCCTCAGTACTGCACAGGCACGGCTTCTTCAAGCAGCTCTCGAAAAGACTGCAACAAGCCTGCCTGGCTTTCGATGGGGAAAGCGTGCTCTACTAGTTCCTGGGCAGCCTCCTTGCGGACCTTCGAACATGGAACTTGCAAAACTTCAAGAAGGCTACACCAAAAATCCGCGCAACAGCCCAGGAGCCATCCATGCCCCGAGGCCGAAGACATGCCCGTGTGACCTTAGGACAGATCAAACTCGATGCTCGGACTTCGACGACTCTGGAGCTCGGCGTCGTGCTGTATTAGCTCGACCTCTGCACCGTCAAAGGACTCATCGACAGGGCCCTTGTCGACGGCGAGCGGATGTACCCTGCCGAGCTCCGTTTGAGGATTGCATCAGAATTCGTTCTCAAGAGAACACGGCAGTGGTGGCAACGAAAGATGGCAGATGGCCGCAGCATGCCGCAGCCTTCCACGAGGATCATGGTAGGCGAGGCAAACGGCGTCCCAATCTTCCGGCAGCTCTTTCCTGCACTCCGTGCCGCGCTCCCGTGCCGACACTCCACACGCAACTCATCCACGAGTCGCGGTCTGAGGCGACTGCAAGAGCTTGGAGATTGCCAGGTCCACTCTCGGGACGACGGCATTGACGTCGTCCTGGGAGAGTCAGGAAGATGCCCAGCTGCAAGCTGTTGCAAGCCCCTAGGCCTCCAGAATCAGACCCCACTCGGCAGTCGGGTGTGTAGCAATGCCTTTGCACAGGTCTCGAAGCCGGTGTTATTTCATGCAGAATGTGCTGACACCTGGCAATACCAGAAGCTGATCTGCCCTGCTTTCTCTTACAAGTGAACACAATTTCATCAAGCTTAGCAGCCCTAAGATTGAACCTCAACCTAAAGCAAAGTAGACGCCACCCTTAAGCTAGCACAAAGTGCACACCCAGGACTTGCTGCCTCGTTAAAAACATCAAAGTAAGCATGCAGCTTCTTGCTTCTTGCATGAGCACCCGGCGCTGGAGTGCCAGGCGGTGGGACAGAGCGCAAGCGATGCCGCCCACCGTCAGGTGATCGTCGAAATGAACTAAGTTCCCCTCCTGACAGGGAAACCCATGACCCCTGCATGCTGACAAATGCTGGCAACAACCTCCGCCTCATATCAGCTCGCGAATCTGGCCTCGTCATGGACGATGGTGTAATGCTCCTCGTCCACTGCGCGCCTGCTGTCTACAGAGTCGATGTCGACAGCTGCAACTCGACATTTGTTTGCCAAGGCCTGGCACGCTCCAAAGCATAGGGGCCGACGGCGTCCACGACAACCTGTTCGGACAAGAACTCGCCTTAAACTCTGGCAAGAGCAATGTAAAGCGGCATAGTGCACGGCACATATCAAAGCCCAGCCTCATCATCTAAAGACAAGGCCAGCTTGTCGATGGCCTCGTGTGGGCACGGCCAAGAGATAAAGAACATCCCCTCAGAAAGGCCCTCAAGAGAAAAAAGGAAAAAAGGGGGTCCCTTTTACAACCGAGGCGAGGCACCTCCACGCGCTCCAGGCGGCGAAGGAGGGGCGCGTTGGCTTCGGCCAGCAAGGAGCGAAGTCGCTCTGATCGGGTCAAACACGCAACAGGACTGCAAGCAAGATAACAGTGGTGGTGGTGGAATTGGTGTATTCTTTCATAACAAAAGAGCCAGAACCAGAAGACCGCAAGCAGCAGCTGGTGGAAAAGAGAGTGGAGGTGGCTAAACGTCGTGTTAACACGGTGTCTGCAACGCGTGCAATGGCTGCACTGCCGTCAGAGCAAAGCCACAGGAGCTGCTGTGGCACAAAGTCGTTGGAAGTGCGATAGAGCTAAGCAGGAAGGGGAGGGTCGCAAATGATGTGTTGCGATGAAGTGCTCGTGGTCCAGGCCCTGCATTCGAAACTCCACCCAAAAGGCTTCCGAGCCTTTGCGATCAGCTCTTCTTTCGAGATTTATGAACAAGGCGCACCACCTCGGAGAGCAGGTTGGCTTCGAGCATCTTGGTACTGAACGGCCTCTGAACATTGCTTTGCTCCTTTCTGGCTCATCCCTAAGAAACATGCCACTTCTCAGATGTTATGGCCGCTTGAAGCATTGCCGTTTCTGGGACGGGCGCATTTCTAGGTGTGCGCCAGACGGAAGGTCTCTCGAGCGCCAGACTCACCGAGCTCAGGGGGCACTGATTGAGCTTCGCTGCTTCCTGACCGAAACTGCCAGGATCACAGAGGCTTGGTGTCAAGCGTCTCCAATCCAAGAGCTTCCGAGAAGCACATCAGACTGATATCGATCATGGGCGACATGCTTCACCAAGTGGAGATCCTATTGGGAACCAGTTGCAGCATCCTTCTTATAAGGACCCCAAGAAAAGGGACCCCGGAAGGCTCGATGGCTTCCGATTCTCAGTTTCTCCCTGACTCAGTTCAGAAGCAGCCGATCCTCAAGTACCAGGCTTTGAATGACATTATCCGTAATTTACCGCTCCACCTGACATCACGCCAACTGCACGAACCCACGCTTTAGGAAAGACTTCCGATCCCGACCATGATTCAAGGAAGCTTTACTACTTACTTCTTAATCATCTCGGTCAACGACCGCAAAGGCATTTCCAATCTCAGTCTACTCGGAACAGGACCGAAGGGCCTTTGTCAGTCGCCCGGCATCCTTGTCGCAGCTCGCGTGAGTGTCTGCGCCTCCAAGACATTACAGCCTTTTTTATGATCTGCGCGTCAATGCCGACTGCACAATGAAGTTTACAGTTTACAGTTTACCGCAGGTCCCGGCTTGAATTACCACAGGTGCCTGGCTTGAAGGCGCCGCTGTATTCGCAACTTCACACCTGCAGCAACCTCACACGGGTTGCATGATGCTTGACACCAGCACTTCTTGCGCATGGATATGGCAGACACAGCAGGCACAAACCACGAAGGTCGATCGGCATCGGCTGACCGATCTGGATAGGCTGCGACGCCCAAGAATGCCCATCATGTAACTCCAAAAGTCGATTCTGGCAAGGCAACCTTCCTCTGATAGACAAACTTGAGTGGAACTGTCCTTGGCTACACCCTCACGGAGGTTAGAATTCAGGATTGCGGCTCGAAGAAGCAACCCAAAACACCGAACAACGTGGAAAACAACCCCTGAATCCTCAACCCAAAAACCTTATACCCTAAACCCTAAATCCGTAGTACAGCAATCCTAAACTATGACTCCAAAATTCTCGAACAGGGAATGAATGCAAAGACATGTAAGCCCCAAGTTCCGAAGCCCTTTTCCCACATTTCAAATCCCTCCAACCCGAAACTTGAAGGCTTGAAACCCGAAATCTTTAAGGCCTGAACCAGAAGCTCAGAGTCTAAGGCCAAGAACCGGAAGCCTCGTGAAGGGTCTAGGGTTTAGGGTTTAGGGTTTAGGAAGGTGCTAAACCCGAAAATCCGAATTCCTCACGCCCGAAGCCCTCAAGCCCAAACCCCAGCACCCGAAGTCCCCACGCCGCGAACCCTGGAATTCGAAAATGCAACATGCCCCAAAACCCGAACCTAAACTCCCAAACCCTGCATCTCCAAGTCCTGGAAACACTGAACTCGAAACCCTGAACCCGTAAATCCCAACCTCCCAAAACCCGAAGCTCTAAATCCAACATCGAACGCTTCGAAATCCTGAAGTCCAAACCCAAATCCGAAATCTCTACCAACACCGCAAACTTCGAACTCAACACGCCTTGAGGCCTCAGCCTCGACAGTTTCAAGAGTCCAACCCTAATCCTGCGCCCTGGATTACAGCCCGACAAATCCTGAACATTAAACCCTTAAATGAAACACTCAAACCGCAAATCTTCAGAACCCGAAAACGGGAACAACCGAAACCCTAAATTACAGCATGTTCAGAATGCAAAGCTGGTGTTTGGCTGCCAGAAAATGCTTGGATGCTGAAGTGCTCTAAGGCCTCTCGGCCACAGGGCGTGGCAGGTCTTGGCCGTTGGGGACCATCTGGCGCTATCATGCTCACTCCATTTTCCTCTGTCCAAAAGAGGGGTGGGCCTGTGGCTGATTTTGAATGCTCCGCTGCGAGCTGTGGCCTGACAGCAGGAAAACCTGAAACAAGCCACGATTCGGCGACTTGCAGGTGGTAGCATCGGATTCGGGGTCTGTGCGCTGGCCTTGGGTCCGACATAATTACACCGGGGCGAACCTCGCAACCCTAACCGACAGCAGATCCAAAGACCTGAACAGGCACTAATCGGAATGCTAAGCCTGGCACCATAAACCCTGAACCCAAACTTATGACATCCGAAGCCAACGCAAGCCAAGTAGCAGTGCCGAGAACGGCAGTGTGCAACTCCAGAGGGCCTCCGCAGCCCCAAAGTCGAAGCAAAGGTTTAGTACTTTCGGAGAGTACCAATGCTGCCATCATCGTTACCGCCACCACAAGAATGATAGACACTAGCGATACCCGGCCTGCTACTAAAGTCTGCACGTATCGGACGCATCGCAGCTACGAGAACCGAGGTGTTGGAAGTTTTGGCAGTATGAGTAAGCTGAGGGACATCGGGAAGCCGATGTGCCTGATACGCATAGTGGCACGTACTATGAACCTCGTTGACCACGAATCACAACTTAAAAAAGTAGTTGTGCTAACCTTTGCGTTTCGACTCTAGACTCTAGTAAGAAGCAGACACCATTCCCAAAGAAAACCCGGGTTCCTCTATAAGTATCATAGTATAAACGTTCAAGACTTGGGGCAGACAGAAAAACATGCAGCAAATTGAAGAACCGAAACATCCTTGTGGCGATCACCACAGCAATGACAGGACCAGCAACATCATCAACAACCATAGCACCAATGTCATCACCAATGTCATGTCATCTTCGATGCCTGCAGAACCATCACCACCAAGGTATTACCGGGTGTCAGTACCGTCGACATCACAATCATCATCATCATCGTCATCACCATGAAAAGCCATCGTTGCCGGCATCATCATCCGCACCATAGCAGGAGCTAGATGCTACAGGGTGTTCGCGTTCGAGCCTCTTGGAGGACGCCTTGCGGAGGCTGGCTGTCCTGCGACATGCAAGTGCTGCGATGCCTGGAATAAAAACACTACCCAGGCTCCTGCAGTCGAGCCGGCGGCACACGCGCTGCAGCTCGGGCTCGGAACTTGCCAGAGCCTGGCACCGGACGGGCTGCATTCTGGCTTGGGCCTTGTCGACCGCAGCGCCTGAGCATCGAAGGCTGCCCGATGCTCGCCATGGCCCAATCCGACGCTAACTTGACGGTGCTGCCGAAGTGGCAGTGGATTGTCCGAAGTTTAGCTAGGTTTTCATTTAGATCCTAGATCCTCAGCTCACCCTTGTCGCCATATTTGGTTGGCTTCTTGTGGTCCTAGTGGCTGGGAGGAGACGGAAGCACAGCTGCTTCGACTCAACGCAGCAAGACCGCAGATTCGCTGCAGCAGATTCGCTTCATCTTTTGAAAGCGATGTACTCTTCTCCGAGTTGGGCGGGGCGACTCCTCGAGGTGAGTTTACGTCCTACTGGTAGCTACTGGTAATCTAGTCTTGGACGCCCCGACGCGGCGAGCGGCCTATTTTGGCCAGGCCAAGATCTAACACGACGAGTGCACAGCTCAGTCGCTCTGCCATATGTCAAGCCTCGGCCAAGCTAGCAGGCTGCGCTACCGTTAGCTCTGTTGCCGACACTGCTTGACGCCGAAGACTAGAAGGTCATCTCCGATCCCAAGTCCGTTTGGCCAAGGCAGGGGCAAGCCCTGTGGAACGAACTCTGCCAGATGGACCCTTGGGAATCCCAACAGCCTCGGATCGTCAAACACATAGCACCGGGCAAAATGGAGCTGCAAACCCGATCTCGCCCCCGAAGAGACAGCAGTAAAGGCGGAACCAGCATGCAGCGGCCTGCCTTTTTTCACCGCTACTGCGCACGAAACGCCTAAAGCGGATCGTGGGGCGTCCAGCGGTAGAATCGAAGCCTCGGATTCGGCCAGCTCTCTGGGTAGCCTCCCTTGCTCAGCACAGGTCTGGCAGAATCTCAACCTGGAGCTCCATGAAGGCACAGCTTGAAGCTTAGGCTCTCACAGCGTCGGGTCACCATTCATGGCAAACTTTAGTCCAAGAGGAAGAGATGGATCCCTCAGCCTGCAGGTCTATGTAATCACACCAAAAGCAGCAACCTGCAATGCACCCACGAAGTCGACACAGCGCTCATGGTATCATGGAATAATCTCGTTGTATCATGCTGCCAGGCAGCATCCACTCAAAAAAACTCACGTAGCACAAAATATGTCATGCAATCTCGCAGCTCCAACGTGACCAACTAACATCGAAATGGCGAAATGATAGCAGAAAGCAACGGTAACGACAACGACTGCAGCTCACACTACTACGACGAGGACTACCACTACTGCTACTACTACTACTACTACTACTACTACTACTACTACTACTACTACTACTACTGCTGCTGCTGTTCCTGCCATTTCATTGGCTCTACCTTTACAGTTCCCTTGACCCGATACCATAGATAGACACCACCAGAATACGCGAAGCCTGCTGGGCCACAGCCAAGTCGCAGCCTGGCGTGACTCTGACATGAAGTTCAGCTTGACGGAGCTCTAACATGAGTGGCGTGACAGTCGCCGTTCATCATCATCATCATCATCATCATCAAAAATAGCAGAGGCATCAGCGGCAGCACCAACATGCTCATAAACGGAAGCAGTAGCAACGTGATTCGTACCATATCACCATCGTCACCATCACCATCGTCCTCGTCATCATCAGTCTTGTTGCTGCCATCGTCGGCACCACCATCCACATAACCGTGACCATCACCGGCATCACCATCACCATGAGCTTCGATAGCAGCAGTGCGACCATCATCAGCACTGGTGAAACCGCTGAGTAGCAGAAGGAACAAAACAGCTCGACGACGTCAACAAGAGTGAGCAGATAAGAAGCAAAGAAAGAAACCCACAGAACAAACAGCAAGAACCGCAAGAAAACTGAGCGCACAATCAATACCGAACACCGCATAAGGAATGGTGCAGTGATACCCGCAATGCAACAAACATCTTACTGGCTCATATAGATTGTACTTCCCGTCGTGACGCCGTCCAGCTCTTATTACAAATTGCAAAGCCTGGCAAGACCCGATGCGTTGCATTACAGACATACAACTAAGCAAGCTTGGCACAAATATGGGATGGACAGCACTCGCGATTCATGTCATGTGTCTCTGAAGACGTGATTTCCTTGTTCTTGGTACGATCTAACGAGTAGTCCCGGGTGTTCTGCTACTGTCATGAAAACCTGAACAAGGCTTGCGGACTGTCTCTCTCTTTCTCTCTCTCCTTTCACCACTGGAATCTGGAAACCTGATACTGCACAGAGCACCGACTTCGTCCGGCAGATTTTCACTCCAACCCCCACCTGTCCGGTCTTGACCGATGCTTACACATCTCACAAGACTCGCGAGTCTCACAAGACTAGAAAGGTCTTTGCGTTAAACCACTGAAGTAATTTGTTCATAGGCCGGACGGGCCTCTGGGTGAAAGACCACGTGCCAAAGGTGCCTCGCGGTCTCCGCGGAACTGTTACAGGAGCAAGCTCTACGGCAACAAAGCAACCGCTGCATGTAAGGCCAGTGCTCGAAGGCCATTTCCAACCCCTCTCGCAACTACAAGGAGGCAGAAGCAGAGAGAAAGCACATGTGAGGCCAGCCTTGTGGAAGCCGAACCAAGTGAATTTCTCCTCCCTGGTCCTTTCCATTGCTGTCAGGTCCTGGATGCAGATTCAAGCTTTGAGGTGGTACTGCATGCGGAGAGCTTCAACTCCGAATCCTTCCAAGACAGAAACTTTGTTCCAGGAAGGAGCCGGTAATTGCTGCTACCTGACATCGGCCAGGAACGCTACGGTGACCGTCCCAGCAACAATCGAAACGTCGGGCAGCCGACAGCAAGCAAGCATCTGAGGCATGAGCTACACAGTGCGCGCCACCCACTTTGCCAGAACGCCTCACGGGTTCGGCAAACATGTTACAAGTAGGAAAGCTGACCCCGTGCACACTTGGATCGTTAAAAGCCACTGCACTGCATCGCATGACATGACTTGCAGCAGGAGCTGGAGTTCGAGAAGACAGATCAGAGAAAAGGTGTAGCCGGACCGATGCTCGCATCTTTCCAATGCACTGGCTGGGGACCGTTGCGACAGGGCCTACCGCAGCGCTGCCTTTGGCCTGGCTTTCGCGGCTTCCCGGCTGGCCACGAACTGACCGTAGTCATAGCCGCCGTAGTCGTCCTGGCTTAGCTCTTCTGAAGGAACACGGTGCATTCAGACTGTTCAGCAGCCTCCGGAAGCTGTGGTGGGTGGTGGAAAAGCAGCTCCCACGCCAACTCCACCCACTGGCAGTACCAGCCTGCATACGATCACAAGATGCCAGCCGAAAAGCGATGAGGGAGCCCGAGGAATCTGCTTCTGCAGCTTGCCTGAGGGTGTACGAACCGTGTAGCGTTCCAGGACAGAGTCTCCTGCTCAAGCTGCGACAAAGAATGTTTGTGACATCCACCACAGGCGCTGTTGCAATCGCCAAGGCGACGGTGAGGACGACGACTACTGGTGAGGCACCCCCGAGCTACCCTCATGAACATCGTTACTCTCATTGCATCTGATTCTATGGAGGGCACCTTTGGCAGGCGAAGGGAAACTACGCTCCAGTCTCCTCGAAAGATAGATGGAGCTGTCTTCCGCTGCACACCCTGTGCGTTGAAGTGTCGGGGCATTACAAAGAGAGCACACCGCTTGCGTGCGCCTCCCTGGGTGCTCGCATTCGGCAGTACGACCGAATCTCCGAACGCACTCGTCCTGACCTACAAGTCATCGTAGACTCTACACATTGCACTGCGGTATTCTCTGGCCTAAGGCTAAGCTGAGCACGCATCGATTGGCCCACTGTGCCGACGGCCCAAATGCAGGAAGGGCAGCTCCCGGGGCCAAAGCCTGCGAGTGTTCTCTGGCTCTGCGACACTGGGCCAGGCCTGTCCAGATGCCTTAAATGCTTGTCGGACCTCAGCGCGAAGGAGTTCAGCACTGACACCAGTGCCGGGACCTCCACGTGCTCATACACATCCACATGGATGAACATCATGAAGTCCTCGCTCGGTATTCTTAACAGAGAAGCCATGAGTTTGAAGCGAACCGGAAGTGCCAAGGTCAAGGCTGGCAGATCGTCATAGTGCTGTGCAACATGGTGGAGATTCGGAGACACCTCACCAGTAGGTATCTCCTGCTTCAAGGAGGCGCAAATCATGGCAGCAGCTGACAAAAGACGACAAAGGGTATCACTACAGGATCTCTGAAAAGCGACGATGCTTTAGGTCGTAGATTTTGGCGCAACCTCAGATGCATGGCAGCGGACGCAGAGCGGCCTGCCTCATGGAAGGGGATGACGAATGCACGCCTCTCTGACTCTAGTAACCCAAGATCTCAGATAGCCCAAACCCTAACTAACAAATAGTCCGTAGACAGTTCCAGCTCTTGCGTTGCCTGAAGTACTTGGCCACTCGTAGCAATGAGGACGACAAAGCCACCAGAGAATGAGACGATCCTGCAACAGAGGGAAGGGCGGAGGGATTAGTTTTTGACATTGCAGTTTTTGTCGGGCTCTCAATCTTGCACCTGCGCGCTCTGAGCCAGAGGAGAGATCGATTTCCACCTCTGCCTGATCACACGAGAATTGCACTGCGGTCTACCATTTTTTACCCTTTCCGTGTTTGAATAAGACGGATCGCAGCGACCACTCAAAAGATTGGCCCCTGCCTCATTTTCCAAGCTGTAGGCAGAACTGCTGACATCGAAGAAGGCATAGCAAATGTCGTAGATGTATAGGTCGACAACCTGCGCAAGGCTCACACATCTTGCAATCTTCTCGAGTGCTGGACTCAGCAAACAGTTTCCGAGCTTAAGTTGCACGAATCGTGAACAGTTGTGTGGCTTGGGCCTTGGTGAGAGGCAGCGACTCCTCACACGGCAGCATGACAACACGACCATGTACGGGCTCAAGATGCCACGACCGCTCAACGCCTAGAGTGCCTAGATCCTTCAGTCCTGCAGAATCAAAGACTCCAGCAGCGGCAGGTACTCTCCGTCCGCTCGGGCGCAAAAGGGCATCACCACATTCACCTCCGAGGATACACGGTGCTACGCTGGAAAGCCCTCGGACCGGCAAAGAAACTCCTCCCTCCCGAGCCCTGCAAAGATCACGGCACGAGCACATGATGCGCTTGTCCGAAATTTGCCAACCTGCAAGAAGAAGAGGCCTTAAAGCCGACCCTGCGTCGCAGTGTTGCCACAGAGGTCCACTGCTTGACCTCTTCAGGGCGCCCAAGGCTTTCCAGCGATTTGGTCTCTTAGCAGCAGGAGCCAAGCAGCACGCCTGTGCATCAATGCGATGAAAGCTCCGATAGATGCTCGCCGCTGTCAGGTTCAACCAATGCTTGGGAACCTTGGGAAGACTGGCACTAGCACCGAGCCTCCAAGCAGCAACAAAATCTGGGCCCTGAGCTTCACACTTCATCATGACCGGCGAAAGGCAAGGGTCCTGAAGCACACCACAACCCTTCGGCCCTACATCCTGCAACCCGAAACTTTTCTGAGAATCTATCCTACACCGCTCCTGAGGTCCCCGGCACCTGCGAGCTGGCGTTCACCCAGGTCAGTGCTTGCACACCAAAGCCTTCAACAGGGCCACTTTACTGACAGCTTCAGCTCTCTTCTCCAGTGCAGGAACCTCTCGCTTTCTACGCCGCTTCGGATCAATATCCTCAGCATAGTGATAGAGATCAACACATTCATTGGATGTTCACACACTGGACCTACAGAAAGATATCATCAAACTCCTCCATGCATACATATAGCACCAAGGCGTAGTCATGACCCTCGCACAATGTGTTGTTGCTAGAGACTTCCAGCATCACAACTTGTTCTGGCAATACAAGCTTGCACATGGCTATAATGTGATTTCAGCTCTCATAAACTCGTATACGTGAGCCCGAAACTGTACATCTCTGAATATGCCTGATGCTTACCGTAGATATGTGTACATGGCGTTATGCATTGGTCTAGGTCTTCCAGTGCTTACAGATACGTATGCTTGGAAAACAACAGTATCATGTGACGTATTAACCGTGGTGCAGTGGTGAGCGACCCCTTTCACAAAATCGAGTCCATGCTTGTGGCTGGACAACTGTATCCACTTGGCGAGGCTCTTGCTGCTTTGCTCGGATGGCAAGACACGGATGGCAAGACAGTTATCACGATGGCCTTCCCTCTGCAAGCTGAACCAGAAAGACCTCAGCGCGGCTAGCCTGGACCTGGCGGGAAAAACGAATGCAAAAGCTCGTACTGACTTGGCAAGCGGCACATAGCGGCCTTGTCAAAGACGGCATTACAGAAAGACTGTCCCGCTCAACCTGGGAGAGGCATGCTCTGCATGTGTCCTGCTGAGGAGAATGAAACTGCCTCCAGAAGCTTCGCAAGTATCATCGCAGGCGCGCAGATCTCAAGGCCATCAACCTGGGCATGCCAGGACGTTTGAGAACTCTCACTTCCGATGTAGATTCGTCGCAAATACCCGATGAGGATGCAGCATTGATGCCAGTGAGCGCATCCTGCAGCTGCAGCATTGGCACAAGAGCGTCTCCGGTTCGATGATAGTGCTCCACCTCAGTATCTTAGCAAGCGTCAGAGGACATGTCTTCTCGGCTGCCTTACCTTGCAAGCTGTTTCTAGCAGCACGGTGCCATCCATACACATCAAGAAGCCTGCAAAAAGACAAGACCTGGAGTGAAATCTGAGCTTCGCTCCAGAGCCCCGAGGTTGGCCGGGCGAAGGCGTGGCAATCCGGTCAGCCGCACACCGAGCTGCAAAGTTATGTCCTCAATGGCCCATGGTCTTTTGCTTTACTAGTGGCAAGAAGAGCGTGCCTGAAATTGCTGTTCAGGTCTGGTCTTTTACACTTCATGTGACCGCGACCAGTGCTAGAACTAGTACCAGTAGCAGCAACCTCCGCAGTGTTCAAAATGGTCATTCGCATCGTACAGTAATGGTGCTCGTTTTTTCCCCGATCTTGCCTAACTGTTGATACTATGCCGTCGTCCTGTGTTTGCAAGTGTTCCCCATCACTACCACAATCATCACTTGCTACTTGCTACCACTATGTACGCCCACAACCACTAGCATGAAGACTGCTGCTACTCCTCCTGGTGCTTCTGCTGTTCCTGCTGCTGCTCTTTCTCCTGCTCCTGCTCGTGCTCCTGCCCCCGTAGATCTGCTGCGACTACTACTCTACTACTTCCTCCTCCTCTGCGACTGCCACTTCCACTGCCACTGCTACTCCTCCTACTACTTCTAATACGACGAAGACGACGACGAACATGGCCACGCGGACGACGACGGCGGCGACTTCGACTGCAATTATGGCGATGATTTCCATGGCTACTACTTTCATTCTCACCACTGCTACCTTGCCACTCCTGATGCAGCTGCTGTTGGTGCTGCTGGTGCTACCGGTGGTGGCACCCACTTCTAGAACTACCACCGGTTAGCAAGAAGTTCCGCATTAGCATTACTCCCGAGCACCACTCCTGCTTCCAAGATCTAGTGCCACTGCTACTGCGGTGGCAACAACAAAGTTCTAGCGCGACACTTCCTATGATTACTGCTTGACTTTTACTAATCTCCAGTACCGCTCGTGCTGCGATTATGCCATCTTGCCCGTCTTGCCGTTGACCATGCTGCATAATGCAGGTGTATTACATGTGTGCCTAAGTTACTACCTGTCATGATGCAGCACGGTGTGTGCGTGCAAGAAGCATGCAAAACGTGTGCAAGAGGGCTTGTCGGGAAGTGTGCGAGCTGCTGTCCCAGAAACGAAGAGACACAAAGGGTGCCTGGAAATGAAGCCTCCGATGGCAGCCAGCCAAAAAAGCTTCGCCACGCCTGGCGCCAGCAGGCACCGTGCAACCCAGGCTGAAAAAACACGAGGTTCTTGCAATCTGCACAGCAGCCACAGTGGCAATCGTGTTTGATGCTCTTGCCGTGTGCTATACAGTACTGCTGGCTGGCAATGCTGGCCTGGTCGGGTCTGGCATCTCGCCGCGACAGCACAACGCAAGGTGATCCCAGGTCGCGTTGCGCCACACGAGTGCTGCACACAGGCCAAAGAGACCTGTGCTGCACGGTCCCGAAGAAGTCGAGGCTTCATCAGTTGCAAGAACCGTGGGAAAACATCTTTCTCAGCACTCGGCGCAAGCCGCAGCACGTCCTGGTTATAGTAGGAGAAGGCCAACACGATGCCTCCTTTTCCTGCGTGTTCCAGATCGAGCTGGAAGTGGCCCGGGTCTCTGTGCAGCAGCGCTTGAAGGTCAGCGTTCCTGCCCCGCTCGGCAGCGTGGCTCTCAGAGTTGAAAGCCACAACCCAAGACAAACCAACAGAAAAAACCCAGAGCAAGACTGGGAAAGTGTTGCTCTTCTAACGACGCCGGGCCTGCCCACGTTCATCACTTCTGGCAGTGATATGGGTTTTGTGGATCACAAATGTCATTGATGAGATTATTGCAATGAATGCGGTTAGCAGTGGTCGAAAAACTAGTAGCAGTAGTAGCAGTAGCATTAGTATTAGCAGTAGTAGCAGTAGTAGCAGCGGTAGCAGTAGTAGCAGTAGTAGCAGTAGTAACAGTAGTAGCAGTAGTAGTAGGAGTAGTAGTAGTAGTAGTAGTAGCAGTAGTAGTAGTAGTAGTAGTAGTAGTAGTAGTAACAGTGGTAGTAGTAGTACTACTACTACTACTGCTACTACTACTACTACGGCTACTACCCATCTACTTCGTTTGCCGCGCACATGGCGTGGCAAACGGGTGTTCAATGATACATGCAAAGTGCGGTTATGCTAAAACTGTGTTTCCGCTTGGATTTTAAGCACATTCTGGAGCTGTGCAAAGTGTTAACCTTTTGTGAAGGTTTGACTTGTATGCGATCACAGGACGATTTGGGCGTCTTTTTTATTGCTTGTGACTTTTGTTTTGAAATCGGCAAAAACATCGAATGCTTGCTGTTCCGTTCTTGCAAGTGCGGCTTTTTTACGGTGGCAGCAGCCAGGACGTGTCTTGGAACGCCATGTTCGGCGCAAGCATGTCCTCCACGTCAACCTGATTTTGGTTGTTTCAATTGCGTTTTTCGTGGCAAGTGCAGGACTTATGAATATAGGTGGCTTCTGAAACCTCTAGAAACTAATCGTTTCTATGAGATGAGATATGGACGATAGTATGGAAAATACTGATGACAGTATGGGATCTTCATCATCTTCGCCGTCACCATATCGTTGTGCACTATGCTGTGCAAAAGGCACAGATGCTGTAAATACCAGTTGGGTATGCTCGCACCAGGCATCACCGCTTATGACAGCGCGCTTTATGCCAGAAAGCCAAACATCCTTCTGCAGTAGGCTGCATAAAGTGGCGAACGTTCGTTCGAGCACGCTCGCACAAGGCATGAACGCTTGTGACAGCGCGTCAATTAACATGGAAGCTCATGCCGTTATTCCCCCCACCCCACCCCACCCCACCCCGGAAGTCACCTGCGGCAAACGATGGGGGATGGGGCCTACTACTACTACTACTGCTGCTGCTACTACTACTACTACTACTACTACTACAATACTTGTACTAGCTTCATTAGCGGCAACAGCAGCAGCAGAAGCAATAGCAGTACTAGACTTTTGCATCGTTCGGCTACTAGTCTTACCGCTGCAAGTGTTGCAGTTGAATTCGCAAGTGGTTTCTTGACATTAGCGTTGTTGAATTTGTAGTTGCAAACCTTGTTGCTACAAGCATTGCGGACTAGTGCGCGATGATTCTTCGGCTTTGATGACTGTAGCGAAGGCTCGACTATCTGCTCCAGATTGCTCCAGTAATGCTACTACTCTTCCGATTATTATTCTTCTTCTCCTACTCGGCTTCTGTCTGTTCCGACTGCTTTCTCCGACACAGATATATATCGGCGCTAGTTAGGCCGCTTCATATCTGCAAGTTCGCGCCAAACCCCAAACCCTAACCCCTCTCAAAGCCCGAACACATAGCTATCACAAAATCCGAGCAAGCCCACAAGCCAAAAGCCCGGAGGCCTTGCCAGCACGAGGATGTGCGCCCAAGAGAGCAGCAGAAGTCTCGAAGAGCCCAGCGGGTGCGGAGGACTGCCACCTCACCTCGCTCGAGAGCGGTTTCGTAGGGTTTAGGGCTTCTTTTGGGTTCAGGGTTTAAGGGGGGGGGGAAGATGTGCCGCCAGTACAGCAGGCTCTGCGTGCTCTGAGCATGAGCAAAGGACACTAAAGTCACATTTCACATCTCTGATCTTGCAGACCAGGGCCTGCTGTGCGAGCAACCCACAACTTCTTCGTGTTCGCAGGCGTCCAACAACGCACATCACCTCAGAAGTCTGCACATGGAATTGAAGCAAAAGCTTTGCCAGGCCAACGAGGCTGAAACCTCGGTAGCCATCGGCGCGCCGACCTGGCAAGCTGGCGCAAGCTGGCTGATCTCTGGTACGAGCGGATGTCCGACGGGCAGCAACGACAACCGGAGGGCCTTTCTGCAGCGACATGTTCCTTGCAAAGCTCAGCTTCACAGCTGGGCACTGCCCACCCCTTGCATTTGTCTCAAGACCGTGCAAAGCCAAACTTTGCATCAAGGTCGCAGATGCGGCGAAGATGTCCCAAGCCATAACTCGGTGAGCAGGGCACTGGAGTCTGCCATGAGGGCAACCTGCGAGAGCCAGCCTAGCCTACACCTCTACCACCAACGAAGCTCAGGACAAAAGATATTCAAAAAAGAAGATGCTGGGAGCGCTAATGATGCGAATGACAAACTTCCCTAGTCAAACCAACCTCGCAGACGCTGACCTGCTGTGTGAAACATGCTGCACGATCAGGACGTGACAGTTGCACGCCATCTCTGTCAGTTCAAACTTTGTTCTCTATCCCGGCCTTCTAGCCAGTCGCTCTCGCTGGCTCCCAACATGGCTCTGCACTAGCTGGGAAGTGGGTCGTACAAGTCAGGTGATTCAGTATCAAGCTGCCACTGCGGTACGTTTGTCCAGGGTGGTGTTTTCTTGTTGTGTTGCGCTCATGGTCTCCCTCTACAGCGGTAAGTGCCTAAGTACGTCTATCACTGACTCACGCCCTCAAGTTTTATCAGCAGGTTGGTCTCTGTGCACTACTCATGCTACCTTGTCCAGGTCCATGATGCCGGTACTGGTACGGTTGTATCATGTGTGTGACTGTATGACGGTGAAATTTGTAATTTTCCACGAAGTCACGAGGCTTCGTTTGTTTGACTTGTTGGTAGTTGTTGCAACCATCTTACTGCATGGTCCGATGTGTTTCGTAATATTCGATGCTCTGCAAAGACCTTTTACCATGTTCCATCTCGAAGCACACGCCTGCTGAGGTCACTGATATCATCGAGCATCAACTGCAAGAGTTTCCACTGGGCTCCCGTCTCGAGGCAGTTCGACAGGATCTGGATCATGACAGCACCGTCTGCCCAGGCCTAGCAGTGGTGTGGGCTGACATCCATCCTGGTTGAGCCGGGAGGGAGAATGCTGCAACAGCTCCACCTTACATACCTCCTCTTTTGGTTGCTCCACTACAACAGCATGTTCCGCGGCCGGGGCACAGTGTGACATGTGATGCCTGACACATAACTTGCACAAATGTGCCTGGCCGTTGTCGTCGCCGGAGCACATGCTCTGCAGGTACAGCCCGCAGATTTGGAACCTAGGACGTAAGATTCCTCCTAATTACCGTTGATTTCAACTATATGACTTCACGCGGCAGGCGGGCCGGGGCCCCAGCGTGCCTTGCAGAATTCTTCTAGGAAGCTGCTGGAGCAGTGCAGCCAGGCCCGCGCCCAAGCTGACATGGGCCTGCCATCACGAGTTCATTACGGGCAGCGCAGAAAGGTGCTCTTTCGCCTCTTGGCGGAAGCCGCCCGGTGAGGCCGACGGGACCTGACGTCTGCAACAGATTTTTCCCAACACTTTGCTGACCGGAGCTGTCCGGCCGGCCTTGCCACTCCACGCCGTGGGCCGTTTTTGAGACTGGCACATGTCATGTTGGCCGCTACACTGTGGATGGTCCTGGCGCGCCGAGCCTTGCGGCTCGCTGCCGCTGGAGATACAGAGGTGGTATACTGCACCAGAGCCAAGGCCATCAACATGTCCATGTCAGACGGCGCGGAGCCTCTTGCCAAGGGCAGCTTCTTTCTGAACAGATTTGGAACTCTGGAAGGTACCGTAGACCTCGCCTTCCGGCACCACTTGCATGAGCTGACGCAGAGGATCAGCAAAGCCCGGCCTGAAGCGACTCGCTTCAGGTCAAGCTTTCGTAGCGCTTCTTCGTGAATGCAGGACTTTACACCTGGCTGCTTCTCTGCAAGACTAGGCCTGCAGGTGATGCAATCGAGGAGATGGACCCCACATTATCCTACACTATTGCACAACCCGCCCATTCAGTCTCAACATCCTTCGGGTTGACGGTGCATGAATCAATGAGCCAGGAGCCCCACAGCTCCCCCATTCGCGCCAACTTCCTTCGGAAGCGGAGCTGCGTCTCCTCGGCCACTGTACCAAGCATTGGCGAGAATGACAGTACGCAGAATCCTAGGAAGAATGCTAAGAACATGAGGTGCGGGCAAAATGACTCCCAGATGGTTAGCGCAGAAACGAGTCACGATCAACCATACCCACACCTCTATGCCATCCCGAAACGGTACATTCTCCCGCTATCTGATCTGCGAGTGTCGGTGACAGCAAGGAGACCAATGAGAAAGAGAACCACAAGCATGGTCGCGGTGTTGACAACTACATTGACGGCAACTTCTCAGACGATCAGATCTGAATAAAGCTCAAACATTAAAAAAAAAGATACAAGCCACGACCGGACATAATTATGCTGACAACAAACTGCAAACTGCAAATAACAACACCCCCAGCAAAACAAGAGTCTTCATTCTCCTCAAGTCCTGAAACTCCGAACCCCTGAAACCCAGAATTCCTAAGCCCTAATCAAATCACTACTAAGCCCTTAAACCCTAAACCTTGAGGACCCTGGGACCATAGGGCCCTGAGGCCCTGGCCTCTGGAGAAGCGCCCTTGCCATCGCCAACGAAGTCCCAGAGACTCGGTAGTTCACCGTCTTGAACCTCACTTGGCACGCACTGAATCAAAACGCACTGTCGAACCGCTGTTGTTCTGGGTTTGGGGTTTAAGACTTCTGTTCAGGGTGTCGTTGCCTTAGGGGCTCAAAGTGTAGGGTTTAAACCTTAGGATTGTACTGGCTTTTCGGCTGCTTCGAAGGGATGGAAACAAGCTTGCGCAATGGGCTGGAGGCATGCAGTACTTCTGTGAATAATGGTTCGAGGAATTGACAGATGCTGTAAAGCAGTATGACGTAAAACAGCGAAGTTTTGACGGATGTGTCAGGTGGTGGACGTTGAGTCTTGTTTCCAACACTCAAAGGCTCGAGCCATAAGCACGATTAGTTGAAAATGGTGCTCTTTGTCACGGCGAGTTCGTCTTGCGCTTGACGACAACGATCCCATGCAACGGGGCTGATGTTTGGCAGAAGTGCTGACCTCCCTGAGACTTTGCTCTGCTTCTCTTCTGCACACCCGAAGAGTAAACACCCAAAAACCTGTGTTGGTCGGTTGGCCATTTTGCTGTCTCGAAGCTACATCAACATATGCATCCTACCACGCCTCGGTCTCGTCCGCGTCGTCCAAGACTTCGAAAAGCACCTGAGATTGCCCCCACTGAGCACCAGTCAAAATAGCAGAAATCTCGGCTCTGCAAACACCCGCCTGAAAACCATAAACACAGCTTGGCGCACAATGAATCAGTCGCAAAACTCACGATCGACTCTATTCCAGATTCCAAGCTCCAAGCATTTCCGTCCAGGACGGCCACAGACTCACTGACCAGCGAAGCATCCAAGCTGCTGTGAAGCCTGCCCACATTGCCGTCTTTCACATCATTCCCAAAGCTTCGGCTTTGACCCCCACACCGCGGGCGACGTGCCTAAGCTGCGCAGCCAAGCGCCGGCGCACCAGTAGCGCTTGGCCAACACTTGCCAACGCTGCCCCCAGGGGACCGACCTGTGTTTATGGCGGGAGCTCGCAACGAACAGCCCTGGCACGGGAATACGTCCGAGCCTGGGTTGAAAGAAGGCCGGCAGATGTCCGCAGAACCTGACCGGCGCGGCAAGTGACCACACTGAGCTTACAAGCACAGCAGAGGGATCCGGCACCGGCAGTTTTTATGCCAGCAGATGCCAGCAAGTGATTATCGGCGGAACGATGGCGTCACTTAAAAGCGCCCGTGCTTTCACGAGCTTGTCTGCGAACCTTTGCAGAAGTGATGGCCACTGGCAAATCATGTAGCCAGCACTTCAACCAATGAGTCCTTCCAAGCCTCGATGATTTTTGGCGAGAACATTCAACTCAAACGCATTGGCGGCGGACGCTTAACTGCCCGATCCTTGATGTGTGGTTTGACAGTTTCGACCTCGTCGTAAATACAGGTACCATCAGCCGAGCATCGAACCTGGGAAGTTGGATTATGTGTTCTTGTCAAGTCGCATGATTGCAAAACAAATGCCTAGGATGCAGCATGTCGTAAGCAGACCGGCATGGTTGTCCGGCAGGGCAACCTGCTGAAGAACGTATGGCTGTATTGAGCAAAACCATCTTCGGAATTTCCTGCAAGCATGCTGAATCTGCACGTGGCGTGGTCCGGATTTGTTCTGGGCGCGGTCGAGGACCTTGTCTGGTCCAAGTGTACACTGTACTTATGCTGGTGACTGCTGCGGTCCCGACATCGCTAGCAGGAAGTTTCGGGTTTAGCCGGAGGGCCGGAGGGTTTCGAAGGTTTCTGCCAAAAAGTCGCTTGGATCTTCAAGCCCCGCCTTCCATGCCAACGTTGGCGACGGGTGGACGCAGATGATGACTCGGGGTAAACCGTCATGGAATTCTGCTACTTTTCATTGTTTGCCTGCTTGAACTTAGCAGGTAATGCTGCATTGGCAGACATCTCAAAGCCCGAGAGATCCACGCGTGGGGTTTTGCCTGAGCTTCCGAGTAGGATCTTCTTCGGAGCCTGCCTGCTCCTTTGAGGATGTGGTCTCCGGGTCCGAGCGGCGCATGGAAGATTGCAGAAAGGTGCTGCAATCAGATCCATCCTGTGGAAGCTGCGCTGCAAATGCGCATAAGCGTTCCGAGGCTCCACATAGCTGAGCAGCCACCGCCAAATCAGCCATGGAACTCACATCTTTCCCGAACGATCGGTCGGTGTGGCGATATCTTGGCTAGGGTAAAAGGTGCCAAAACGGCTGCCCCAAAGGCTGGCGGTCGCAAGACACCAACGCTCAATGATCCAGAATCTGGATTGCGTTCTTAGCTACACAGGCCGCTGAGGCAGCATGCAGCTTCTCCGGTGCAACCTAAGATCAGAAAGAGCCGATGAGGAACAGCACACCCGTCAAAGCAAGCCTCTGCGGCAGGTCTCGTCGTTTGGAGGGCCGACTTTGCCTTCGCACTGCACTATGAAGGGAGCTTCCTCTCACACGCCCCCACCCTAAAGGCACCCTCATGGGCTAAACTGCTAAACCCTGAGAGCCTTGGTAGCCAGCTGCTGAACCTCCGCATTTGCCAGCAGCACAGCGCAGCCCGAAACAGCCTCTGCCCAACGATTACAGAATGTGACCGCTCAATCTGCCGGAGGTTTCCACGATGGGCTTAACGTTTACACACGCAGTGGTAATCAAGTATAAGTGCTCCATGCCGATGCATCGTGATCACGCAACATCATCTGGACACAGGTCTGAAGGGATCCGGTCGCACCTTGCGCAACCGCCCAGCCGCGCGCAAAGCCAACCTGCGGCATGCAGCAAAAGCCCGTCAAGTCGGATGATTGTGCCGTATTTCATATTGCACCAAGGCCCCGGCATTCGCGAGATGGCCGCAATGCCCGGGGGCCCCAGGGCTTCCATCAGCAACTCAAGGAGCAAGCTGTCCAAAGTGGCCACACCGTTGCTTGAATCGCACTTGCGCCAATCGTGGTGGAAGCCACCCGAGGTGGACTTCGGGTCCGTCAGCTCGGACAGCATGGACAGTGTGCGGCTGATAAAGGAGCAACCCGACGGGCCGTTGGAGATGTCCGGGAACTTAATCGGAACACTGGCGTCGTGATGAGGCGATGACTCCGGGGGTGCCGGTCGGCGCCTTAGCAACAGGTGCTCCTCCATATGGAGGAGGTAGCGAACCACACGACCGAATTCCTGTCGCCAGAGCTGCTGTGCGCTAACGCCCAAGTAGTCCTGCACGTGCTCGAAGGACCGACGGAGCTTGAAGGCCTGCGCAGCCATCTGCTGCAGTGGGGCCTCGGCATCCTGCCGGCTACTTGGGGAGGGCCAAGACAAGCTTGCCAGCAAGGACTCTATTCGACGAGCCACCTCTCTCCGCAGACCATCCAGCAAGACGGCCCGAGGATCCACCAGCACTGCGCCGAGAAGTGCCACATCCGTCTCTCGGATGCCACGCATTAGCAGAGCGATACGCTGTGTGAGGATGCCGACCTCACTGCTTGCCTTTTCACACTTCTCCGCGTAGCTTTGAAGCTCCACCAAGCTTATCCTGGAGGGCAAACTCTTTGGCAATTGTGCGGACTCGAGCGTTGAAAGCTGGCCAAGAAGGCGAAAGATCAGGCACGGAATCTCCTGCAAGACAGACCGCATGAATTCCACTAGCCTGCTGGAGTAGTACCCCGAAACGAGGGATGCGTGCGAGGAGTTGCCGGCCTGCCTGATACGCCGAAGGGGCGCTTCCAGTATAGACGCAAGCTTGAGAAAGAGAGCTCTCAGCCCCTTCACACTGTCCGGTGATGCTGCGAGCAGGTTGCCCATGGCCTCCTTGTACGTGCTTAAGGCCCGCCACGCATAGGAAAGGTCCGCGACAGTCTCGATCGTTTCTAGGACATCTGAGCTGAGGCTGGCCGTCCGAAGCATCCTTTGCAGCAGCTGCCTTGCGTCACTGAGAAAGTGCAAGATCTGAGGCTGTTGGCTAACTTCATGGAAGAGAGCCACTTCCTCCAAGGCTTTGTTGATCTGACCAACCTTCCTTCCCAACGCCAAGAGGTCCTCCTGAGTCTGGAAGCTCAGCTCCTCGATCCTCTGCTGCAAACTTCGGAAGAACTCCTCCAGCTCGCTGTTGCGGACGTTCCGACGCAGTGCATGCTGCCCTGAGAAGAAAACAGCCAGATCATCCATGGCTTGGGCAGCCTCCTCCTTGAGACGGGCCCAGTCTGCATCCCGACGAGCTACCAGAGGGACTAAGATGGCTTTGATCTTGTCCTCCAGCAGCGCGGTGTCGACAAGGGTGCCGAGCAACTGCTCCTTCATCTTCGCAGAGCTATTGCACACCACCTGGATTTTCGAGTCTAAGGTGGTGGGTTGAAGTAGCAGCCAGCGGATGCTGGTGTTGGCCTCCCGCAGCACAGAAACCAACTGGGAGACTTTGCTCGAGACGTAGTCTTCTGTCAACACACCTTCTACCAAATACTCCTCAAGCTTAGACCGTGTCTTGGACAGTCGATCCAGGTGCTGCTCTTGGAGTTGACGTACGGTACCTGCAGTGATCGCGTTGCTCAGCGCCTGGCGTGCGGCCGGATATGGCGCCCACATCAGAAGCAGGTCGGCTGTGTATCCGAGCGCATATGCCACGACCCAAACGTCACCGAAGTGTCGGTCTACGATCTCCCGCATAGCAATCGCATCGGATTCAAGCGTCTTCGCTTGGAAGAACAGGAGAACATAGAGCATTCCTGCTTGAGCAGAAAGGCCGTGCGACCTGTGCTCAGGTAAGGGATAGTGCCTTGAAGCCTCGTAGATGTCTCCGGTTTGTAGCTTCCCGAGCACGAGACGGACTGCATCCTCATGGAGTGGGAATCGTGCGAAGTAACTCTCGGGGTATCCGGGCCTTCTGCCCGCCAGTTCAATGTCTCTCTCTGGCCTTGCAGTTGACTTGAAAAGCCTGCAGACATCTGCAAAGTCATCCGACTCGCGGCTTGTGCCCGCTGTGCATCGATAGAATAGAACGAGGGCGCGCTCGCGGCAGGGCCCTGAAATGCGCTCGTCTACGATGAGGATCATTGTTCCAAGCAGAGCAATGGCCTCTGGGAGTAAGACAGCACCCGCTGAATCGCGAAGAATGCTCTCATGACTCTGCCCTACGAAGACACCGACATCAATATCGTCAAGCAACTTGGCGAGGTCAGCAAAGTACTTTCGTATGGCAGACAGGACCCGGAACAAGCGCTCAGCCGGATCTGCATTGATTTCACGACTCTCCTCATCAAGTTCAATCAGCTCTGGTGTGCCAGCCACCTTCTCAACAGCACCCTCGCGACGGAAAACTGCAAAGTCTGGCAGCACCGGCGAGAGACGCTTTGCCACCTCGCCCTCGCCCCTGATGGCGGCAGGCAAGGTTTCGGCACATCGCTGGAGCTCTGCGACAACTGCATGCCCACGGCTCAGCAGCCGCAAAAGGGCCAAGCCACAATCCGTCTCCACCAGGCTCACAGCCATGAAGCTCACGGGGCTCACGGCCCAAACTCCTCATCTCAACTGGACAACTAACCTGGTAGAATCAAGGCTTGGCATGCGACTAGGAAGCTTCCTCCGGCTCTAGCTTAGCAGCTGATTATGTCTGCTATGCACTGCAACACTATGCTGCGATACCCTATAATTGCGGGGCTGCGACACTAACGACCAACACGATCTCGATTAAATTGTTCAACCTTTCTGTACAGTGACCCTCAATTGGCTGGAACAGCATCCAATGCATCGAAAATGGTCACACCTGCTGCAAATTGAAGCTGGGACAGATCTCCCAGCCTTGTTCCTCAACTGCACTTACGAACTTATCATTACAGCTGACTCTCTTTTCTAGGCCCTTTTCGCTGTTCGCCTTTGGCGAGTTTGCGCAAGTGAAAGAGCTTACAGCAAATCTTCGCAAGCTCTGTCTCCCATCGACGGAATCATAGATTTATCCGCAGTGCAAGTAGAAGATGAAGGCAGAAGGCACACGAGCAAAGACACACCACGTCACGTCAGCATGATGGTCAGCATCTCGACGCCCATTCTTCAGTCTACATTGTCCGTGGCTCCTCTGCCGCTCGAAAGCTGTCGCGGTCGCGAGCCTCCAAAAGTGCACCCTTCCCCCTCTCCGACTCCCACCCCTCACAGGTGCAAGATTCTGGCTTGTAGGGATCTAGGTATGGTCGACGAGTGGGATTAAACTGTGCTAAACATGTGCTTGTCGTGACTCAGTCGCAGACTCTTCTTTCACGGCACGGAGGCTGTGGCTGCGTAGGCGGCGAAGGTGGCAAATCTGCCCCGGGCTGGCCATAGAAACTCCTGCCTTGACTTTGGGTCAGAGTCTCTGCCCTGCTATCCTTTGTTGATCGTTCCAATCTCACGCCCTCCACTTGTCTCCAGAGGTCATCGACCCGCTTGTTGGTTCGTGCCAGCGTACCAGTCTCTGCTCTGAGTTCGTCGATGTCCGCCTGATGCTGAACCACACTTACGGAAATGTCCTGGACTTTGTCCTCCACTTTCTTCACAGACTTCCCCAACCTCGCCGAGCTCGTCGCTGCAATCTCCATGTCGCCGCTCATGCTCGCCAGAGTCTGCTGCACCTGACCCAAGACCTTCTGCTGCGTTTCCCTCAAATTCTCGAGGTCTCGCTGGAATTCACTTCGCACAGAGAGAAGACTCCACTCCAAACCCCTCTTGAACTTTGCCTCGGCGGCTTTTACCAGCTCTGCACTCAGCTGTCCCGTCTCCTGGGCCTCTGAAGCCTCCTGACTGGTGCGCTGATTGATCTTGAGCTGTTCATCCAACAAGCCCTTCATGCATTTCCTGAGCTTGGCTTCAAGATCCCCGAGTTTCGTGTCGGTCTCCGCCTTAGTCTGCTCGCAGAGGCATTTTGACCTGCGGATGACATCCTCCAGGATGCTGCGCCACTGAGCAGGGAAGTCCTCCCTCAGAGGCGATGGTATCGATGGTGGCTCAGGAGCCCGAGCAGTCTTTGGCTCCGCAATGCCGGCGGAGGGGCTTGCGCCATCTTCTGCAGCTTTTGCCCAGTCTGCGCCATGCTTCTGCCAGAGAGCCTTGCAGGCACATGGAAGTCTCTTATAGCAAACAACAAGGACGTTCTTGATTGCCTGCGGCATCCACCCTACAATCAAATGCCCTGGAGTATGCTATTTTCTGCTATATGTATGCTGGTCACTGCGAGTATGGCCAGGGTGCGGGGCCTTGTCGAGGTGAATTTGGAAGCTTCGCAGCTCACCGTCTACAATCTGCTTGGCCTCCCACTGCTGGGACAGCACCAACTGCTGAAAGGTCTTGAATTGCTCCTGGAGACTGTTGGAAGATTAACTACACGATTTCGGGGTTCGGGGATTTGCGAGGTTTTTCTGAGCGTTTGCGTCGGAGGTCTTTCGAACTGCTCCTGCGCTTCGGTGTGACGCTGCTGCGAGAGAAACCGGAGCTCCTCCACTTGTTCCAGCACCTGCTGCTGGCGAGTTTGCACCGACTGCTTGTGGTTGCTGCAGGATTCCATGATCTCTTGCTCCAGCGTTTCGAAGGCTGCCCGTACGTCGGCCATCTCGGAGGAGAGACGGCCATGGACCTTGTGGACTTCGTCGAAGCTGCTGCTGTTGCGCTGGCAGCTTGCTTTGGCCGCCTCTTGCGCTTCTCTTTGATCGGCCTCACTCACTCCGAGCCGTGTCTCGTGGTCCTGCAGGGACCTGCTCGCAGCTTCTTGGTCTTCTCTCAGACTTTGCAGCCTCGACGAGAGTGTCTCTACTTGCTCCTCCTGCTCCTCCATTCTTTTCTGGTAACAGGAGTTTAACTCCTTCAGGTCCTGCTGTGTTTCAGCAAGCTGACCCTGAAGCTTCTGCAGCTCCCGCCAAGCACCCTCGTCACTTGCGCGAAGGTCCCGGAGAGACACATGGACTGCGGACGCTGCGGGTGGCTCCGCAATGCCGCCACAGCTCTCGGCTGGCTGGACTTCGCTGCGCGCAAAGGTCTGAAGCTCTGAGGCAATAAGCGCCAGCCGCCGCTCCTGCTCCTGCTGGCCTGCAAGACGGGCAACTTCCTTGCAGGGCGTGCCCCCTAAACCAGACCCGAGTCCCTTGAAACCCTCTGACATTTTCAGCTGCTTGCAGCGGCACTGTGCCTGCACAGTGCGAGCCAGGTCGACAAGTTGCTGGTGGCAGCGGAAGGTTGAAGGGGACACAGCACTGAGCACCATGGTGCAGTAGGATCGGGACTATTGTGGAATACCTGGCTCTGGGGTGGGGAAGGGCTTCGAGAGCTTCCGTCTCAACATCTGGATCCACATGTCCTGGTTGGATAGCAGCACACTTTGGCTTGCCTCGTCTACCTTGAACCACGCAGCCAGAGCCAGGAATGGCACATGCATTGCCAACACAACCGTGAAGCTTCTTCAAGCACACTGCTCTCCTATCCTTTTTCCCTGAACGGGAACCGCGGAAGTGCACGGGCCAGCGTGGCGGAACGGCAGAACGCCGAAAAGCCTGCACCATCTGAGCACCTCCTCATGTCTCTTCTTCTTCTGCTCCATAACACGGCAACAGCACCACAAGCGCGGCTCGCACAGATGGTGTAAGCTCCCAGGCGTGAGCTACACGCCCGAAGCAGACTATGGCAGGCTTCACGTTCATGCTAATTACAGTGCTCCTTGAACCAGCACTTGGGGCTGTGGGACAAATCGCAAACGCCATCTTCGATATTGTTTGCAATGCTTCGGCTGAAAAGGGACCGTCGAAGGCCTGGCTCTTGAAATACTGCACGGGCAGTCCGCTTCAGGTCGACGAAAACTGTACATCTAGGAAGGCCTGCGGCCTCTCGCAGCTCCGCCCAGAAGCGTACGAGGACACCTCCCCTAAGCCTCAAACACGAACTCATGGCCGAGCGCGAGGTGCTGAGGACTTGAAGCTGCTCGGTGCACCGGATCAGCTGGCGCTGTTGTGGCTCCCGACGCTCGGCATTGAGGACAAGGGTGGTCCTGTTTCTGGAACACAGGAGTATCCATAGAAGGAAGACACTCGGATAACGTACTGGTAGAGTTGCTCATAGCTCAGAGCCAGGGTGGCCACGTCTGCACCCGCACTTCCACGCAGAGGTGGCTGCCCGAAAGTGTCACGACACTCCACGAGGTCCGCAGATCTCTGCATCAGCCTGGTAACCTCACGCTTGAGGATAGCTGCATGACTTGGGCTGGAAAAAAGCCACTCTTGGTACCGGCAAACTGCCCAATGATGCGAGTCTTGCGAATCGTCGCAGCCCGGCAAGTGGCCCAAGAAGGCCAAGCGATGTACGACCGCCATGGCCTTTTGAGCAGGATCCGTCACGGTACGCAAGGCCCGTCTCGGCACCCGCACGAGGTTTTTACCACCTGGCCCGGGCGTCGGACAGGACAGCTCACTCGGCGTTCGGGGTGATGGGGATTCTGTGGGCGTGCAGCGACCCTGCACACTCCCATCTTCCCACACAGAAGTGCCCGTGTAATGGCTGCCCTGCATAGTTTGCATGTCACTGCCCCAGTACGAAGTCATGTTTCGTTGCACAGCCTCCAGCTGCTGCATGAAGGCGGGCGTAATCAGCTGACACACCTCTTCGATTCCGGGGCGCTTCTCAGGGTCGACTGCGAGGCACTCCTCGCAAGTAACCTGCATGAGCTGCGAGTGCTCAGATCCAAGGCGCTCGTAATCGCATTCCACGATCTTCCGCGCCACACTAATCGGATTGCCTCCTGTGAAAGGATCTCGAAGAGTTGCCATACGGTATAAAAGGCAACCCAGAGCCCACACGTCAACTTTGTTCGTGTATGGTCTGTGCTGCACGATCTCTGGGCTGCAGTACAGAATTGTACCCACCATGGACTTCATCAGGGAGGCGGCGCCGCCTTTCTGACGCGCGAGTCCGAAGTCAGTAACTTTCACTGCCAGCGAGTGCGACTGCACCAGGACCTGCCACAGGCACGCGACAGGATTGCATCTAAGCCTCGAAATCCTCCTGCTGCTAGACCCCGTGGTCAAGGCGATGCAATGAGCAGTTGCCGAAACCAGCTGCCCACACCAGATACAAATGTGGCTTGACAGCAAACGAGGGGCTCGCTTAGCTGCTGATGATGCAACGGAAACGGGAAGCGAGTGTTCCACAGCCTTTCTGGCTGGAAAGGCTAAACGCCTACTAGAAGGTTGGAAGATGCAAACTAGCCGACGAGCCTTTGCATTATTGAAGACGAGAACGGGATGAAACAAGGCAGGCTGGCGTTGTTGGGAGAAAGGTCGCGATGGGCAATCCGCTTGTCGATATGCAGATAGCGAAGCGCCAAACAAATCTGTACCTCGTCCGAGGGCGAGGCATGGCAAGTGACCTACGACCAGCACATGACGACCTAGCATCGCAGCAGCTCCATCAGACGAAATCTCAACCTTCTGCACACGTAGGAGAACACTCATCGACTGGAGTGCTCCATGTCTGCAAGTAACCCTCGGGCACAAAAATCCGCCACGCTTGCTGCTCTGGAAGCTTCTGCAAGCCTCGAAGAGCAAGCTGATCGGCAGAATCGGCAGTGCTAGAGAAGAACATGTCCATTAAGGCTTGCGGAGAAAGCCTAGTGACTAGCGCTCAAGGTGTCTCCTCAGACACTGCACCGGCCTTTCTCTTTGGCAGAAGCCGTCAAGGCCTGAAGCGGCGCCCCGCTGCAGAACTCCATCACGATCCTGGCTTCTGATTCTGGTGTGCTTCGTTACCTAGGCCTATGGATGCCTGCGCAAGACTGCGCAACATCCGGAGCGGTCACGATCACAGCCGCTGCGAACCAGCTCTGTTCACAACGGTGCAGGTCAGCTCTAAGGCACTAGGCGGGTCTGCATGAACAACCTTGATAACAGCAACAATAATGATAAGGTGCATGATATTCCGACATATTCCTGCTACTTCCTGCTACAGTTATAGTTCAAGTTGTAGCCCTGAACTATTTGTGACTCAGCAGGCCACCAAGGCGCCAAAGGGTGCTTGCGGGGCCAGCACCAGTTATGAAGGAGGTGAAATACCGCACCACCTGGGAAATACCGCGGCGGGGAGCACAGCTGACCTCATGTCGATCAGCTGGTAGGAGGCGGGCGTTTGGGTGATCCAGCTGTCGGAGCAGATGCACTTCCAAGTTAATGTCCTGCACAAGAGTCTTCGGCCGCCTGGGCCCTCTGAAGTCTCCGAGCTCTTCAATGCAAGCGATAGATCGCCACGGGAGTCCTCCGCAACGACTTCCTGGGGAGCCTGGGAGGGAGAACAGATCCAGGAACAGCATCGTGAAGAGCTATCACCGAGGACACGGACATGCTGAGGGCTATGAGCTTTGGGCGTGCATTCATGCTGCCTGAGCCGCTCAGATCATCGCGACCGCTTCAGTTCGGCGTCATGCTGCAACCGTTGTCACATGCCGCTCAGCTCGGCACGCCGGATTAGGCAAGACCGTGACTTCTGAAAGAGGGATCTGCGACAGGCAAATCTCGCAAGGCGGAGCGATCCCTGCAGCCCTGGGACCGCCTCCTTCACGGCGAAGTCGCCTGAACGTTGAATCTCTTTCATATATCGCAATTTGGCAGATGATCTTGTATCGAGCCTGGCATGTCAGCCCGGCGTGCTAAGTGGACACGGCCAAAAGCACCAGAGCCAACACACCTGTTCCGAAGCGGTTCTCATGCAGCATGCAACGGAATGCTATGGCTATGCCTATCGTATCAGTCTGAAAG